CAATCTGGTGCAAATCGTAATGCGAGTCATTCATTGTCAACTATGCGTTTAATTATTTATTTAGTTCCAGATTCTGTTGTTATAATATACCCACGCAGTATAACAAAATTTCCCTAAATATGAAATAATAAATTTATATGACGATGACATTTATATTAATAAATACAATGTTTTTATTTTTTTATTGACAAATCGTAATAATTAATATATTGTATATTATATATATGTATATACTGTAAGTACCTATATGATATTTATGAACATTTTATACTTTTTCAAACCGCCCCTTCCCCCCTCCAGGAAATATTTTCCTGCATTCGCCCCTGACACCACTCAATATAAACAGGCAGGATTCATATTTCACAGAATGGTAAATAACATAATATAATTAGATGCAGTATACATCAATACATATCACATATATTTTAGTAATATATATCTACCAAATATTTGGGTAGAATCACTAGCTATTTTCATCTTAAAACTAAGTAATCAATAATCAATCACTCACCTCAGCCGGATTCCAAATCTGAAACAAAATATTAACAATATTGTGTAAAATAAAAGTTTCAGTTCAAAATATTTATTACAATTATCTTGATTATCTCTTAATAACAAATCTAATACTACCAACATAGTTTACCCAATTATAATATTTAACAAAAACAATTCTTCTAAACTAATTTTTCCAAATCCAACTAAAAAAATAACTTTTTGATAACCATCAAAAAATTAGAAGATAGCCATTTTATAGACTTTTGCAAATTTTGACGTTTCAACCTTTTATTTTCATTAAATTCGTGATTTACTCATTTTTCGCATTGCTCCCCCAGGACCTAATCGTTGCCTGCTCACTACCAACAAGTATTAAATGTTTATACGTAACGGTATGTTATAGTTTAGTATTAATATTGTTTTTTTTCTAATGTCCAACCCTAAAATTTGGTTTGCCACACCTGATGATTCGGTTTGGCTAAGGACCTGCGTGGGACCACACAAAAAATAAATGGATTTGACGTTTTTCAATATTTTATCATTTTTTTTCAACCCCAAGAGCCGAATCAACCAAATGTTCATAATGTTCCATCACATTTTAATACTGCCCATAAATATATCTAATTTAACCGGTAATGTTCCCACAGGGTTATACGCCGTATGCTTTCAGCACTCTCAGTTGAAAATGTATACTATATAGTTAAAAAAAAAAAATTCGTCTTGATATATTACTACCCGTCCATAATACTTATGCCACTAAAACCGTAATAGTAATAATAATTGTGTTTATTTCAGTAATAATATGACTAAAATAATTCTCTACTATACTTCTAATATTATATACCTTTATCGTATAGTAATTTCAAATAGTCCGGTTACACCAGGGATATTATATTTTTCGAGTGTTTTATTTTGCTTTAATTTGGGTACCTAATTGATCCATTTCCATACAAAGTGTATAAGCCATAAGAATAATATGTTTATAATACTCCGTGTAGAAAATTTAAAGAGAACGCCACTGAATGTAACGCCTCAAAATATTACCCTCAATTGTATAGTGCTCCATCTATATCCAAATTTAAATTTTAACCACGACGATTTGCATACAAATTTATAATGACGTTTGCAAGTACGTGTTTACGTGCGTAGGCACATATTCAATTATGAAATACAGAAAAAATAAAACACTATTCACATTTTATAGTTATGAACATAGTGAACATTATACACACTGTGAATACGAATCTCAAATTCTTAACCACGAGTTTGAAAGCTGATATCGACGAATTTAGAAACAAATGTCACCAACAAAAATCTCCTTAGTTTATAATTTTACATTGAATTTTTTTTGTTTTAATAATCTAAAATTAATACAATTTCTTTAAAAGTAATTTTTCTTTTTTAATAAAAATAATACTCATCGAAGCTCATAAATGTATGCATTTTTTTTTATGTAATTTTAAATAAGTAATACAAATTTTAGTATTTTATGTGCACATTTTTAGATTCTGAGTGGAGCAAGGTGAATGCATAGGTTTTATAATGATCTTTATTTAAAATTTTTTTTTTTTGTGAATAACTTTTCTACCCGAAATTTTGCTCCAATTTTCAAGTGTAGTACCTTTTTTGAGATAAAATTTTACTGGAGTAGTACTTTAGAAAGGTCATTTTTTTGATTTTCCCAAAGGTTTTTATATTAAATGGGAAAAAACGGAAAAATTTACGAAATGTTTTATTTTCAAATCATAAATATTACGACCTTTAAAAACTTGTATAACCGAAATTCGCTCAGAATTATTTTTCATTAGCAATGATTAATCGTTTCGTAAAAATGTACATTAAATATCCCCAGTACCATCCCAACTTCTCACCTCAACAGTGGCCCACCCATCATGCAAAGTATGTCCGTTTGTGTTTTTATTTTTTTTTTCTAGAGTATAACAGGAAAACATGAAGGTAACTTTGGTTCTATTCGATATTTTTAGTTTTTTTTTTTTTTTCTAATAAATTAGTAAACAATTAAAAAATAAATAACTTGTTTTATGCTAGGAACTTAAAATAAACATTTCTACATTTAACTAGGAATATTTTTAAAATATTATTAAAAAAGCCATTTTGTAAAATAGATTTTTAAACAAATTTTAGTGGTTAAAACTCAAATTGTGCTTTAAATGGTTAAAACTCTTATCGGGATTTGTTATTTATTTTCTACAACTTTCTGTAGTTGTAACTACAGTAAACATGTGAATAATTTTTTTTTAGATTTTTTTTCCCCATACATTTCTTAAATTTGTTTTTATTACAATAAACATTAACCTTCGCCGAAATTTCCATGGCACTTACTGTTATTGGATTGACCAATTTATGTGGAAAGTGAAACTATTCCATAATATCTATTAGGTTCTATTAGGCTGAATAGTGTATGGTCAGCAGGTTTGTAATTTAATTTTACATTATATATCATATTTTTAAATATATAGAAATGTAGAGATCACAGTTATATTTTTTAGATTTTTTGTGTAGCGAAGAATGTATGGGTTTTACAAAGATGCATATTTTTTTTTTTACGTAAACACTTTCTACAAAAAAGCTTACTCCGATGTATACATGTTGAGACGTCCCGGTTCGGTTGGTCTTGTTTGAGAGAACCGATCCGAGCGCCCAGCTGACTACCCGCCTAGGAACAAAGTCGTCAACCTAGGATCGAGGTCCGAAGACCGGAGTCCTAGGATTTTTGTGAAGAAGGAATGGAAAAAGGGGAATCTAAATAAATAAACACGTGTTTTCTTTTGGGGAAAATATAAAATTATTTTATTCATTTACCAACCAAATTGTAAAATTAAGTTAATGCGACAGAAAAGCACAGGGGCATTAAAACTGTTACCTGAGAGAAAATGGATAATAGGTACGATTCTGACATTGATAAATATATAGAATTATAGACAAATATCTCCAAACAACTTATATTTTAAATACATATATACTAACTGGGGCGTCAACCAGTCTTAAAATTGTTGACCGGACGCAGGTAGTGTCATAACGGGGAGCGTACAGGCCGGAGACTCATTAATATTTATTGATAAAGACGAATCCACATCCACGTTTGTGTGCTAACCGATATGGGTATAAACCAAGACGGACCCTCCCCATGTGGAACTTTCGTGGGCACCTTAGGTATTGAGGAGACCCCGGCAAGAATATACGGTTGCCTGGTCGCACAAATTACTACCGGGAAGGATAGCGGAAACGCTTTTTATTCCATGTTAACTGGTCCGTGGTTTTGGTGGCCCTAAAGGTAAACCTGCGGGGTGCATCTGAATAGGACCGCAAAGTGGAAAAGAACAATCAATATATATATATTTTTAAATGCCCACATACGTGGTTGCGAAACCTAGTACTTAAAGGGAATAGAAAATAAAAAACCAAAAAAAAACAAAATGCGGGTGGTTTGGCCTATCGCACATAGGATGTAGAACGCGGAGATTAGTATAATGAGACGGACACACAAATCTAGCTGGTTAATCCCTGTAAGTATATCGGAAGGATTTAACATACGAGAAAAAAGAAACATTTTAGATAAAAATATTTATACGGAGGGACCTTAACTGAACTACCTAACCTTAAAAACTAACCGGGGTATCGGCCAATTATTAAATCGCGTGTATATTACCATCCGTTCCGCCCGAAGATGTCTGCCCAGCGACCAGATCGGGACTCACTTCATTGATTCGTTTGAGACACCATCACGAAACGTGCCAAGGTACACGGCCCTTTCTTGATGGCAAAATATGTGAATCCGCACAATACACGAGAGTGTTTTATTAGAACTGTATCGAAAGACCGTTGGGTGCCTCGAGCCGAGGTCCATACACGAAGACGGAAAGAAACGAACAAAAGAGCGAAAACTAGGTAGCGGAGTGCGGAGACGTTCGTGGCACACAAAGCCGCGGGCCGACGTTTTTGGGAAACGTGATTTGATTGGCCGTTAACGCGTAGTCGGAAATATATTATTGTGAATTGCAACGGATTACGATCGCATAAACCTTTGCGCGGGAGGAGAGGGGAATTATTGTTCATGATGACATAACATATCCGTCGACGCGGGCGTAATCTATCAACCGGTCGACCATATTAATTGTAGGTATGCTGGTCCTTTGATAACGGAAAATGGTCGTTTTTGGACATTACAATGTATACACTATGTAACCTTTTTTTGTAAGGAAATTTTCTTGGGATGGTACTTAAGGGATGTCATTTTTTGATTTTCTTAGGATTTTTTATAAGAAATTGGAAAAATGGGAAAATGTACAAAATATAGGTATTATATGATTGAAAAAAATATCATAGCCCTTTTTTTATCTTGTGAACAACTTTTCTACCAGAAATTTTGCTCCATCTTACAATGATAGCACTTTAGATGAAAGGAAATCTGACTAAAAAGGTATTTTAAGGAGGTAATTTTTTGATTTTATTCAGGATTTTTCCCAGCAAATGTGAAAAACCGAGAATAATTTAGGAAAAACGTGAAAATTGGTACAATATTAAACAATTATTATTAAAGAAAATATATAATACCTATTTAATTATTTTACCATAATAATCTACACGGATAGATACATAGATATCAAGAAAAATGTTAGCCTTAACTTGGCCCACTTGATGTAAAATTTCTGGCGACGGCACTAGGGGGGCTTACAGGATCTTGGCCACCTCAAGTGTTTTTCAAGCTCTCCTAAAATAACATGTAGATACCTACTTATTTTTAATAATTATGATATGTATGCAAATTATACAATTTTTTTAAAAACAACATATTTTTACCAAATTGATACCTGATTACTGATAATATTTTAAGTTTGAAACATAATCTCAGAATTAATTTAATCTACTATTATCAATGTGTATATTTCACATAAAAAACTTTCTAATCTATTGTGTCTGACCAAATAGGAAAATTAAGTCTATCTACTAATAAAATAACAATAATCGACATGAAAAACGGTGGTATTTTCAGAATATTAACTGAATTATATTCTTTTTAGCTTTGTTGTTAATAATAAATAATATATTAATATTTATAATTAAATAATTAATGTATAATATTTGTAATAAATTAATAGATAAGTATACAGTATTTCTGTTATACATTTTTGTGTTGGGAATTCGTTGGGGATGTGGGAGCGCATCTAGTTGCTTACAAGTAATTTGCTTTTTGATTTTCTTTGGAAGAATGGTAAAATGTATGAAAACAATGCTTTTATTATTTTCAATTTTATTTTTTTGTTGTAATTCAGTTATAAATATTTGTAAAGTTTTAACAAACAAATTATATTTTGCCTTTTCTAGACATAGTCAAATTTAAAAAAAAATTAAGCCATTTTTGAGCTATTTATAGATTTTTTAATTTTGAGTTTTGTATGCAATTTTTATTTGGTAGGTACTCTGTGAACAGAATTATTTCACCAAACAGAAATGCTTGAAAATTAAATCGTACTTAATGGTCAAAAAAAAAAAAAAAAAATGTATAATGTATTATTTTTTTTTTTTTATATTTTTAATATCAAATTTTGACAAAAATCATAAATAATAAAAGCCTTTCAAAATATATACAACCAAATTTCTCTCTGTATCATTTTTTGTTAGCTTTGTTAGATCAAATAACTTTAGGTATCCTACTTTCACAACTTTCCAACTAGAACTCATCGGTAATAGCAACTTTTTTTTTTTTTTTTTTGTAAGTATGTTGTAGATAAAATGGTTTGGTTGAACATAAATGCTTGAAAATTTAATTTGAAGTTCATTATAAGTTTAACTTGATGGTTAAAAAAAATGGTAAATGCAATGTAGTAGTTTTTTTCATAAGCTTTTAAAGATTATATTTAGACAAAAATATATTTGTATCATATTTAATATTTGTGGTATTTTAAATCCCCCCTCCCAATGAATACTCAAGTTTAAGTTTTAAATATTACTGATAATACTAATTTGTGTGCTACTGTTGTAATTGAATAGTTAAACAAGTAGGTTATATACAGTAGACATTTTAATTTACATCTTTTCACAATTATAAATCATTACTAAGGCTAATGAATAGGCCGAGATTAACATTGGAAATGGATAAAAAATACCATTAAAAAATATGGACTAACACTAAGGGATATATTTCGGCATAACTCAATAAAAACATAAAACGATTCTGAATGAAGTTTGGTTAAACATGCTGTAATTTTTAGTTTTTATCAAAATTTAAACTTACTATTTATAAAAAAAAATACTACCTACATATTTTTCAACTATGCTATATAGTGGTATATTTCATGTTAAATTACCAAGCATTTTTCTTGACTAAATGGGTCAAAAAAAATTTTAATAATTTTAGCTACATAAAATACCAAACAGAAACTAAAAAAAAAAAAGGTGGCTATAAATATCTCAAAAATTACTAGAATGTTTTGAATATTTGACTACATCTAAAAACTACTAATTTAAGTATTTAGTAAAAATATCAAGTCTCGACAATTATTTTTGACTTAGTTCAATCTTATGATTATGAAATACCTAGTTTATAATTAAAATGTTCTAAGAACGTTTGTTTTAGAACTAGATTAAATTTTGTTAATTTGTAAAATCACTGACTTTGTTTTTTATTAAAAGAAATAGTAGATAATAATAAAATTGTATTTCCAACTGTAAATATTACATAAATTATGACTATTATAAAATAAAATAAAAAATTGTGACGTTAATTTAACATTGACAAAATGAAATTGAATAATAATATTGAAATATGTAACGTTTCTTTTATTCTAATAACTTAAGAAAAAAAAAAAACTAAACACAAGTAATATAAGAGATACAACTCCCATTTATTTATTATCATAACAACTTCAAAATTGTATCTTCCATATGAGTTAAACATTCAGGGTATATGTTTTTATTGAAATTACGATTTTTGAAATAATTCGTACTTATTTGATACAATTTCTTTACAACACTTTTTGTATTACTTTACAGGTTTCATTTGCCAAAGACCATCATTCAAATAGTGACAGTTTTCAATACCAACTCCTTTATTCACCTTTAATCTGAAATTTAAAAAAAAAAAAAATATTTTTTATCAAAATTATAATGTAAGTATTATAATGTGGCAACTATGGAATTACATATCATCCGTAGAAAGACTTGTTATTCCAACTGCGAGTGCATGTTGCTTTCCTTCTGCCATTACAGCCTAAATAAATATTGGTAAAAAAAGAAAGTATTGGTAAATATTGCACAGAAAAAAAAACATAGTTATCACTTTATCAGACCAAATAAGCAATAAAAATATATATTTTGAGTAGCTACAAAGATTTAAGATAAATATTAGGGACGTTCCGGAATATTATAATACAATATATATTATATTTTGTTTGCTATTTAAACTTAATTTTGAATTGGGCAATGACCTAGTTACTACTGGCTTGTGGCTAGGGAGCTTAGCTAATAGCTCTTAGTAGGTACTTAATTATTTGCATTATCCTTAATTATTCTTGAGAAGACCATAAAGTGTCCTCCTAGACTTCGAAGACTTAAAAATAAATTCTTTCCTTTCCATCTCCTCACTTTAACCAAAACCTTTGCAAATAGATAATAATAGGTATACTATTCATCAAAAACTTTGCATTTATAATATAACAATTTTAAAAATATAATTATTAAAAATGTTACGGGTACCCGGTCATTGAATCAGAACCAGGTACCTGATATTATATATAGTATCCGTATCCTGGCGACTACTTGGTACCCTGCATTTACACATATTATTACTCGCCTAATACTCAGTACCCGGTTTATTAATAAATAATGTATCAAGAATGCCCCTAATAAATATGAATGTAAAATATGCAATTTAATGAATACTTACTACAATTGTATTTTGAGGAACAGGTTCAATTTTTGCTCCGGGAGAAGTCAAACCTGGACACATAATGTTGGCACCACTCATTACAAATTTAATGGCACCCAAGTCCACTTGTTCTTTAGGAAGGAAGAACGGGTCTATAAAAAAAATAAATGTTTACATAATTTTAAGTTGTTAGTAGATTTGTTTTATAATCAATCAAATTTGATATTTTAACCAAATTAATAGATTACAAATTTAAATAATTATGACATAATAATAAATAATTTTTGTTTTTGGAAGATTAATCTATATAAATAAAAGTATTTTACATTATTTAAATCAAATCTAGTTACACTATAACACTCTCTAAAAACTATATATACTTACATTTATGAAGAAGCTTTAGTGTTGGCAGCCAAGGGCCGTTTCTATGTCGGAAAAATAAACAGTCACCGGCCGAATTAACAATTATTTCGATATGATCTTGACTAAATAATAATTTTACAACAATAAAAAAAGAATATAAACAGTAATTTAATATAGAATAATACACACCACTTTACAATTCTTAATGCATCTTTCTTGGGTAATATCATATCTATGTATTCTTCGAGTGTAGGATATTGATCGATAATTTTCGTTCTAATACCTTTTTGAACAGACGATTTTAATTGTTGAACGCCTATAACACTATCTTTGTCGTCAAATCTGAAATAGTAAATAACAATTTAACAAAAATTATTTAAATTTGAGTTATTTTTTCTCTTAATCTATCCCACACAAGTAAATAACTATTTTTTTTTTTTTTTTATGTTATAATGCATAACCTACATAACCTTATTTTTTTTAATACCCAAATTTTTCTTCTCCTCTCAATATATTCTTTTACAAAATATTTTTTTTTTCTGTACTAGGTACTTCTAGTATATTAACATTTTCATTTTAACTAAGTACTTCCTGAATAAATACATCTATTTTAATTTTATAATTATATTCTATACCCAACACCTTGTCATATCCCCAAGTAAAACACAAATGCATTTAAAAATTAAAACATAAAATTATACTGCAAATATTTTTCAAAATAAAAACAATATTATCTAAACATTGCTCTATAAAAAGGTGATTTGACTTACTTTTTAAACATTTTTGTAGATAATTTTCAATTAAATAAAACTATTCACCTATAATTTAATATTACAAGACTAGAGTACAGAAAATAATAATTAAATAAATAAATTAAAGATCAACAAATTATTATTAAAATTGAATTATAGCAAAATATATTTATTTGATAATAGTAGCGTGTCTAGTTTTAGTCTGATAATGATATTGATAATGTGGTATGTTCATGGTTGTTACCGCAACCGTAATATACGTCTAGCGCTTGATATTGTAGATAAAACATCTACATCGTGGTCCAGCGGTATTTACGTGGGCGTCGCTATCAAACATTGCTGTCAAAACTTATCACTATACTGAAAAGTAAAAATCAAATATTCGGGCTTCGGTTTGTTCATGGTTCACCGGATGTGCTTTGATTTAATTTATTTTAAATTTACTAGATCTTATTAAATTATCACATTTCACTGCTCAAAATTACCCAGTAATTGCATGATGAATGTTTAAATCATCCTCTACTTGTACTCGTTTTTCCTCATAAGGATCTCTTCTTGTGCACCAATTTGACAATATTTATAATACATATACACGTATTCGCGAAGAAATATTTCTTATTTTAATAAAAGGTAAGTTGATGGTTTTTTTTTTTTTTATGAAACTTACCACTCGTATTGTACTTTCTTGAAAACACGTAAACGTAGTATATTATAGTGGTTAGTATATAGTTTATATGATTTTGTGTATACAGTTATATGAGTGTAGTATTGTATATTTTGGTGTTTTATATTTACACCTAAGTATGGTACACCACATTTTCCTCGTCTGTTTGATTATTATTGGTCTAACTGTAACAATTGAGAGGTACCTAATAATTATCAATTTGTATGTTAGTCATTCAATAAACTTGTACTCTTTAAAATTCTAAGAACTTGGAAATTTAAAATTACTTACATATTACAATGATATCTATTTTACATATTTATTTTATACACAAATATTTAACCTTAATTACCAAACCAAAATTTAAGTTTTCTGTGCAAAATTGTTTTAAATGCAATTTAGATGTAAGTAGATAGGAACTATTAAAACCAAAATATTGTAACTTATAAAATATGAAATATTGATTTATGTTGCAGAATTATTTATTTATTATAAAATTTAATGACAATCCCTTTACTACAAATTAAGTTACATTACAGTACATAATAGATAATTATAAAAATAAAAATGTTTGTTTTATTTGTGAAAGTACTTGGACTATTTTTTTTTTTGTATACACTTTTAAGGACTTAATAATACAGAATTTCATTTATTATTTTTTTTTTTTTTTTTTATTGGAAACAAATATTGACTAGGCTAGAACCAAACTGTATGTTATTTAACTTGTCAAATCCTAATTATCAATTTTTTTTAATGGCTACCTATTTTAAATTTTAAATTTTCAAAGATAATTGTTTATAGCTATTAATTTAATATCAATGTAATGATATTGTATTAATTACATATATAATTATTTATGATTAAAATTAAAAGATTCATCAAAGTCATATAAGAAATGCATAATATTTATAATAAAATAATAAAGTAAAAACAAAATTATTAAAATGGTTAATACTCGTATTTATGTTATATACCTAATATTTTATGTTTAAATTTTTCTCTTCAAACTCATCTTGTTTGAATGCCAAATTATTTTATTATAAATTATTATTCTTTTATTAACTATTTTTTTTCTTAATCCAGGCTATTTAGGCTTATTACCACTTTCAGAATCTTCCCCCATTGATCTTTATGATTTGCCTGTTTTTCTCCATTCATTACTCTTAATAATCTAATGTTCTTTATTGGAGTAATACATAACAAAATTAATAGTACCTTCACTTAGTATTTTTCGGGAATTTTAATTTTATTTTATTTTATTAATCTCCATTTGAAATTAAAAGTAGTTAATATTTAAATTAATGAAACCGATATTTAAGATATTTTGTTGATTTTACTTAATTTTATGAGTAAAATAAAATGTATGTAACATAAACAATATGTATATATCAAGATATATACCTAGTATTTACAAATTTTTAAAATGTAAGTTTTAAAATATATCTCTATAAGCCTATGATAAACAATAATCACTATGTATATAAAATATGTACAAGCACAAAAAAACTCACTTCAAACTACAAAATCACTTTTAGAAAAAAAATTTAAATGAGTCATTATTTTTGAACAATTTAATACCAGTGTAATTAGTATAAATAAATTCATATTATGTGAAAAGATTAAACTATTTATTTATAAAACCTAAATTAAATCTAATTGTTAATAGTTTTTGATTAAATTTAAATTTAACAATTGATAGGTTAGAATAATGTTGAGAATGAGAATATTATTATTTTAAACTCGATTTTAGACATTATTAATTTATGATCCATAATAATCCAATCAACACAATAAGTAAGTATTGTTTATGTTGAGAATGAGAATATAATTGTTTTAAACTCAATTTTAAACTTTATTTATATATAGTCCATAATAATACAATAAGCAAGTGTTATTAATGTTGAAAAATAAGGTCAGTTAGAAGTCACATTCACCTAACTTGAGTTGATTTTATTTTTGTGATTACAGGTGTCTAGATCTCCAATTTATTTTTAAGTCTTCTACACTTTTATGAATATTAATTATTATTATAGAGTATTTTCAGACATTAACAGTATTTGGAATACTAACTTCAACTTTGTTTCGGTTTATCAAATTTTTAAATTATTACCAAACTAATTTTAATTTTAATGTTTTATAGATTTCAACGATGACAACTACGCTGAAACCTTACCTTTCGGTTGTAAAGCATTCGTTAGATGCTGCCATATGTATAACCCAATTCTACTCGCAAGTGGTAGAGCGACATAGCAAACCTGAAATAGAAATGCAAACCAACAGAGAGCTGATTTTAACGCCAATGTTAATCAGTCGTAACGAACGAGAACGTGTTTTTATTGAAAGTTCTATTAATTCAATACGTGTGAGTATAGCAATTAAACAATGTGATGAGATTGAACGATTACTGTGCGATAAATTCACACGGTTCATGATGAAACGAGCGGAAAATTTTTTCATATTGAGAAGAAAACCCATTGCAGGCTATGACATAACGTTTCTAATCACCAATGTGCACGTAGAGCAAATGTACAGGAACAAACTTATTGATTTCATTATTCGATTTATGGAAGAAATTGATAAAGAGATCAGTGAAATGAAATTGGCCATAAATGCCAGAGCGAGAATTTGTTCAGAAGAATTTCTTAAGCATTTTTAAAAAAAAAAAACAAAATGCAAAAAATTATCGAGTGTGCATTATTATTATTTGTTTTTTATTATAATAATTTTTATATTGTAAAATGTTTAAAAGCAAATTTATTTAAAGTTATTATAAGATTAAATAATTAAATATTTCCATGTACGGTTGAAACATTGAAAGTATATAAAAAAAAATACCATCAAGTATTGATGATAAATTTAATAGTCAATTATTATAAAATTCATTTTTTATATATATATATATATGTATATACATACATATATGTGTATGTATATATATATATATATCATTATTAGCATCATTATTTCATTTTTTTTTTCTTAAATATTTGTTCTAACATATTATTGTTATGGTATGCCAACCATTTATTAATATTATTATACTTAGCCAAATGTAACATAATTTAATATTGTCTATCAAAATACTTTAAAATATTATTATAATCATAACTAATTGTATAATATCAACCATTTGGTTGAATAGAATGTGTTAATTTGACAGATTAATATTATAATATATGGTATAAATTAGCTTAAAACCGAGATAAATGTAAAGCAATCTGTTTGTTCATCTATAAAATTATATTTGTATACAAACCTTTACTACTACATCAATGATGCCCAATCTTTTAATTTTTTATATAGGTCTCAAATAAAAAAAAAAATTAAATTTTTATAGTTATTTTGTACTTTTAGCACTATGCCATACTATAGGTCCATACCTATATAAAATTATTTAGAATTTAATATGGATCTAAAGATATCTTTTTCCCCCGTGTTTTGTGTACTGGTTATCTATTGATTTATTTACGAAGATAGAAACGTAAACATTTGTTTCAATTAAAAAAATTAGCTACATACAACAGATTGGGTATCATTCTACTTTACTAAAAAATACATTTTATTAACCTTTGTAATTATTCCAAATAAGCTTAGTATTATTTTGTTTAATACAATTTAAATATTACTTTAATCCCTAGCCCTGGAAACATTTTTTTTTTAATTTTTGATCAGTGTTAATTTATAGATCTTAATGATAATATTTACATTATTAATACAAAATTATTCTTAGCCTTAAAAAAATAAAATAATTATTTTACAAAACCAACAAAAATAATATAATATTAATTATCTGTGTTCAATTTTAAAAATAATAAAAATATGTTATGATTAATCTTTATTCTTCAAGTCTCATTTTGTAAAATTAAAATTGTTAAATATTTAAAACTACCTATCTAGTCTGTGACTTAATTTAATATATTGGTATGTTTGGCTTATGTAGATTTGTTTTGCAATATCAGAGGAGAAGAAACCTTTTAATGTTGATACTTCTACTTAAAGAATATTACCTGTATACTTATATTAATATCATAACCTATGTATAGAACCTACTATTGCATTTTTCATAAATTTATTTGAAAAGTAAATAAAATAAATCTAATCTGATACAATTTTTTTTTTTTTTTGTTGCCTGAATTTTAATTCAAAACCATTGACAATGACTTCAAATATAGATTACCAACCATAAGATATATATATATATATAGTTATTACTTCATACATAAAATACACAAATTTTTTGTATCATATAGTTCATAATATATATTGTTAAAATTTGAAATTTATGTCCGACAAAATATAATAGGCAATAATACATTATATACTGTAGAATACAACCATAAGATTGTGTAGGTATATTGGTATAATCTAGATCCTATATACCTAAGGGATTAATGAGTCCATACAATACAGATAAAAGTTATTAAAAAAAACCCCTTTAGATTACAATTTATAAGGTAGGTAGGTATTTTAAAAGAAAATTAACCATTTAAAATTTGAATTAAACAAACAATAACCACTCTAATTAATTAATACTAAAAACCACACTTGATATTGTGAAATACGAAAACGGTTTCTTTTTGTGATAACTACTCAAGGGCTTGTAAAATAAATTATAGGCTTGGTAGGTACCTATATATTAAATTAAATAATGTTTGATAAGACTTCTGTAGAGTGCAATATTGCTATACGAAATAATATTATATATTAGCTTAGGTATAACCATTATTTATGTGCCATAATCATTTTAGATTAGGAGGTACCTATCTAATTTTTAATAGTAGGTATTAGGTAGATAGCATTTTAATACAGAATAATATACCTACTTACTGTATTAAAGGTAGGTAGGTACAGTTAAAAGCCGTTATACTGACTAATAAATAAATATATAAAAATAAAATAAATAAATGAATCAATGCGTCGCCTGGAGTATTATGATAAGCGTATTATACGACCGGTTTTAAAATTAAAAATTTATCATCAGGTATATCATAGTCAAAATGTAAAACGCAACTGAATAAAAAAAAATTAAATGAAGGAATACATGGAAAAAAAGACTTCCTAAGATAATGAAGACGGATGCAGCCACTGTTGTAGGTAATTTAATGTATATCTATAAGCAACGATAAACAATTGCTAGCGAAAAAAACAATTCTGAGCGCAGTTAAGTTGATAGTAATGCTTTGTTAACAATATATATATGTCATACTATGGTAAAAAAAATAGACATTATATATTTCTTTAATAATATTTATTTACTATTGTATCGATTTTTCCGGTTTTTCACAATTGCTGGGAAAAATCCTGAAAAAAATCGAAAAATTACCTCCTTAAAATATCTTTCTAGTCAGATTTCCTTTCAGAAAAAGTGCTATCATTGAAAATCGAAGCAAAATTGCTGGTAGAAAAGTTGTAGACAGAAAAAAAAGGTATTACTAATACCTACATTTCGTACATTTTCCATTTTTTGAAAATATTAATCCGGTATTTCCCAATTATTATGAAAACCAATTGAAAAATCACAAAAATGACCTTCCTAAACCATGGAGATAAAATTTCCTTTCAGAAAATAAACTAGGTACACTTGAAACATGGGAGCAAGATTTCTGGTAGAAAAGTTTGCACAACAAATCGAGAGGTGTACTTTTCGATTAAAATCGTTTGAGCAAGCGATAATTAGCCATCTAGGTATACTTAAAATGCATTTGTTTTTCCCCTATTTAGGTAAAAAGGGAAAAAATGTTTTTTCAAACTTTGTCTATTTGAACCTCTAAATAAAATGAACGAGTCATCAACATATCTATAATATGTTTTTATATATGGACTGTTTATTTTGTTGTTAATAATATTATTGGCTTCATAATTTTATATGTAACTAAATTTCAGATAAAAAAGCATTTAAAGGACCACCCATAACTTATTGCTAAAATTCTGTACAATAATAAAAATAATGTAAAAATCGCTTTTGAGACTAATAATAATTTAATCGAACATCAAAACTATAGAAAAATAAACAACTAAAAACTTCACAAAAAATCCCCCTTCTTTTGAAAATACTAGTATATTTAAACTGTAATCAATTTTATATAGGTAAGACAGATAGAAATTTTAAAATAAGATATAAAGAACACATTTCAAAAAGAAAATTTAAAAAGACTACCCCTAATTCAAATTTCGCTAAACATGTTTTGGAAAATAACCATAATATAAGTTTTAATATTAATACAAACTTAGAAATATTAAATACCCAAAATAATATTTACATTAATTCAGTTTTAGAAGCATTACACATATACAATAAAATAAAGAAAAATAATTTAAATAATATTTTAAACGTTCAAACCGATTTTAAAAATGATATCTTATACATTTTAGATAATAAATAATAACCTAATAATTTATATTTTTTACATATCTATGTCTAATAATAACTAATTTTAAATAATCTCTCTATTAAAATAAATTATTTCCATATTCTATGTAAAACGACCAATTTGTATAATTTTTTCCATGTATTCCTTCATTTAATATTAGATTCTTAAAGTAACAATGGAGCTATTGGTTTTTTTTTCTTTTTATATAGTCTGTGGACACTTTTTCTTCTAGTAAACTTACTCCGATTTATACGTATAGCAACTTTTCTGAAAACTCAAGAGGTCATTTTTTGAATTTCGACGCCACTTTTTAAATAAAAGCACTTATGTGAGAAAAAACGTAGGAAAACGTACAATTTCATTATTTTATAAAAATACGGACGACATTTTCTACCAAAAAAAAAATGACTTAATCGAAAAATCACAGGAAACCTTTTTTGTTTCCTTATTTACTTACTTTCTTACGGTACTATTAGACATGGTAAAATTTCCAAAATTATCGGACTTTTTTTTTTTAATAAGCGTTTTGAAATTAAATTTAAACGAAAATTGCAAAAAAAAGTTCTTCAAATTATGTATTACCGAACCGCGCTCGGAATCGTCTTTTGTCAAGCAATGGTTTATTCTTGATTACAGATATAAATGAAATAACCTTATATATCCTACCTTCCCAATTTCTCACTTATAACTGTGGCCGATCCCATCCCCAATATCAGTTCTCTTTTATACTCAGTCGCGTTTTACATTTTGACTGATATACCTTATGATGAATTTTTAATTCGAAACCAGTCGTATAATACGCTTATCATAATACTCCAGGCGACGCATTGATTCATTAACTAATTTTATTTTTATATATTTATTAACTTTATTTAAAATAAATTAGTTTTTATACTGTGCCTATGCAATGATTTGGTTATCATTATTCATTACAAACAAAAAATGATTCTGAGCCAAGTTATGTTAAATATTTGTTGATAAATTACTTTGTGACTAGATATACATAAATAATTATTGTGTTGGTACATGGGTAATTTAATTTGTAGACTAGCTATTACCTATTAGGTATTATTATTTATTTTTTATTTTTTGTCAAAATTTTAACTTTAAACACAAATAATAAGAACGATTCTTTTTCAGGAAAAAGTCTCTAGTAGGTAGAGTACTTTTCATGATTTAATGATTCAATCTACCAGATTCAAAATAGCTGCAATATTAGTCATTTTAATTTTATCTTTGATAAACATGATATAACATGATATGATAGGTAACTGTTAAGTAAGTAGGCACCTACACATATTAAACAAAAAGTCTATCATAAAAATTAATATCACAGGTGGTATAGATAAATAATAATATATAATTGTCTATTTACAAATAATTAGAGATATGATTGTGCGTTGACGATTTTAATATTATTTATTCATCAAACTAACTACATAATCTTGTAAAAATGATGTAACTTTTGTTTTTATTGAAATAATAATATAAGTGTCTATATAAGTAGGTAGGTACATTTCATAAATTAATTTTCGCGCATGCAGTGAAGTGTACAAAAAAACACATACATGTACCTACACAAGTAGCTAGGTACCTACCATGTAATACCAAGTAGGCAGGTAGGTACCTAATGTAAGTTTGACCTACACAGCAGTTTTGAGATTTAATGGTGTAGGTTATAATAATGTTACGATTAGTTATAATATGTTTTATTATTTGTTCTTACATTTTAAAATCGTATTAGGTCTGCTGATTGGCTTAACAATGTAGTACCTACTAGCTGTAGTACCTACCTTTAATGACTTTAGTAATAACTAATAAGTAATTACTATTTACAACTCACAGATATTATAGAAATAATATTTTCTTTATTATGAGCAGTGGTCTAAATAAATCAATACATCTTAGTAAAACAAATACATTACTAAATAATATATTAAATCCTATACTATAAATTATTAAAATAATTTTTGATAAAAATAATACAAGCAGACTAGGTGGCTTTTATTTTATAATAATAGGTAATTAGAGATGATAAGTTAAAATAGGTTTCTACAAGTATATTTATAGCAAACCAAGACGAACCAAGATACAATTACAGGCCATAATCCCTACAGTTCAATTATGAATTTATTATTTAGGTTGGTAGGAAATAAAATGCTCTCTTCATGATTCTCTTGCATATGCCTTATATTTGAGTTATCTATTTATTGTCTACACGAATCAACTCTTGCATCTCTGACTATTAGACCTATAAAACATGTTCTTAGCCTTTTGCATCCACATTTCTCTTCGATTATACCTTCTAGTATGATGCTATGGAATACATCTTTGTGCTTCAGTGATATCATATACCATCATTTTGATCTTATATTTTTTAGCAAAATTATTCTCTCTTTTACTAATTCTAGCATTTCTGTGTTTGTCTTCATTTCTGTCCATTTTATTTGCTCAAATACCAAATTTCTAAAGCTTCTTAAATGTTTTCATAATTTTTTTTATGTCCATTTTTCACTACTACCATAATATAATGCCATACTCCATACGTACATTTTAATTAAACGGTCTCTTGTTCTTAACTTTTTGCATAATTCGACAATTTTTAGCAAACATATACCTAGGTATATGTAGATATACTTGCTTATTTTGTGAATATTTCAAACATTTTAAAAGAAAAATGTTAAAAAGAAATATAAATTCAATGTAATATTAAAAATGTTAAACAATTTTACCAGAACATCTGAAAATCTGGAAATTATTTAACATTTTCTAAATACACGGCACATTTCCAAACATTAAAATAAGTTGTTCTCTTTACAAAAACATTTTGGTTGTATTGAACATTAAATGTAAAAAATATTAGTGGCACAATAAAACAATAATGTATTATCACGTAAGAAAAAACATATTAAAAAATATTCCTACCTATTTGTTTTTCTTTTCAACATAATATCAAGATTAAAGAACTAAATTAAAGTTTAGTTAAAGATTTTACTTAAGTATAGATTTTTTTTTTAGTACATGTATTACGGATTTAAATGTATATTCTCGATTATTATTTGTATGCATATTTTGACAATTTTACCTAATTTTCCTTCCCCCAAGCAACTTTAAATTTATAGTAGAAAATTCAAAATATCAAAATGTCACACAAGTCATCATAATATTAAATTTGTGTTTATGTTTTTATTGTATTAAAATTATTATTTATTGCAAATTTATTTTCCTATCTCTTGTTGAAGAATGTTGGTATAGGCAGGTGCCTATAGGTCGGTCACTGCACAGATATCAATAACTTTTAATTTTCAAATAATAATATCAATATATATATATATATATATGATTTTAATTTAATTAGTATGCACTGATATATTGTTATGTAAATAAATCCGACATAAGACGAACGATTTAATAATTTAAATAGGCACTTATAAAATAAGGTATGGTAAGGTAGGTTTATAAGTACGTGAGAGGATATTTAGATTACAGGTATACATGCCCATATACATATTATATCCATTTTACTATTCCTGTAATCTAACCATTGAATAGATAATTATAATTCAATTTATTTTTGGGATAATTTTATAATGAAGGAACCTAAGTATAAATCGAAATTGTTAAAACAATAATCTGATTGCAAATTGTATAATAGGTAACATAATTTTACAATTAATGGAATATCAAAAATAAATAATTACTTTTATGTCGGATAGGTAAAGGTAATCATATAATTGTATTCGAAATAATATCAATTTAATTTTATATTTTATAAAAACAAAATTTAAAGACAAATTATATTCAACAGAAATAATATAATTCCGATAGGTCGGGGACGATAGGGTGGAGGGCCTATCGTCCCCAAAACTCCATAGAGGTGGTCGTAATTCATTAACTCGCGATATTTTATACGGTTTTTTTGTATTTTTGACAATATACGTCGGCCGTGTATGATATAATAGTATAATAAATATTATTACCAGTTTTTGTATATAATAATGGTATGCTAGTATTAATTTATTGCTTTTTAAATATTGTGCAGCATTATAATATAGCTGGTAATCCGCATACTTTCGGCAACAAAATATGTACACACCATGCGTTCCTTTCATTACCCAAGTAAGACTTTTCTCATCATATTGCTGTCGGTGCTGTCGCCGTGTATGTGACTGTGATTGACGATGCACTTTGACGAGCATAGGTACTGAAGCAGTGGGATACGGTATTTTCCACAAAAATCCACGAATTTAATGTGTTCCACGCGATCGTCAAAAAATACACCTGCAAAAGAAATTGTGAAGTCTTTAAATTTAACTTTGAAAGTGAGGAATTCGAAAAGGTATTTTTTTTTTTTTTTGAGATGGTAAATTTCCAATTGTTCAAAATCAATATAATATATATGTATATATTATTATTCAACCGTGAACTGACCTTTGCACTTAGGGTTGACGCAATGGTGCGCGCTCGACAAGTATTCGATCAAATTGTAAGGCAAGTCGCGTTCGCCGTACGTTACGTTGTTAATTTTTACCGATCTTGCGGACAGTTCAAGTAACGACGGTGGATTATGAGTCAAATCGCTTACGAATCGAACGACCAACGGATTGTCTCTCAGACTTAACTGCAAAAAAAACATACACACATATTATCATCATGTAAACATTATAATATGCAAACAATTTGTACAAATGAAAACGAAATTTATTCGTATAATACAGAGTGATTTTTTAAGCATGCTCATTCCATATTTATGGTTAAATTGTGTATAAATTAAAATACTGATTTTTTGAATTTTTGTTTGTAGTAAACAACAATATTTTCGAATACTTATATTTTTCACAACATTTAAAAAGTATTCTGTGAAAATACCAAATTCGGTTTTTCAAATGAGAACCCCTACATGTTTTAATGCAAATTATCGATCAGATGATTTTTCTAAAAACATTGACGTATTGTAATCGAAATTCGAACGAACATTTTCTGAGTTATTTTACTTAAAATAAAATAAAACCGAATTTTCGATAGCTGCACGAATCAAAACAAGTAATTGCCTATACACGACTCAAGTGTACTCGATTAATAATAACTAGAAATATTATTAAACACGTAAATACGTACGCCAAAAAATATTATAATATATACAATGTGCTATAATCAATAAGTAGATACAAAATTCAACAAATTGTTTAACCATATAGTCCCACGCCTTTGTTTCAACACTTAATAATATATACATATATATTTTACTACACTGGCGAGACGTCTCCTTATAATGATAAACACGCCAAAACACAAACCGATAAAACACCGATAATAATACATCTTACATACAAATATAAGGTATAATAGTCATAGATAACAGTATTGTAGTCTTGTTAGAATATTACAACCAAGTTAAATAATAAGTTAATTAAGATTATTAAAAATAAAACTATATAAAAAATACATTTGTTATAATATTATTATTATAATTAAAAAACTCATATTAGGTATATAGTTATTAAGTTTCTTTTTTCTTATTTGTGTTTAAAACTCCTTCAAATATCAATACATATTGACTATGACAACACGAACGTTACACAGTAGCTACACCGACCTAATCGGGTCACGAAGTCAGTGCGTCACAAATATGATTAGCTACAGCTGCTATAGCTATTACGAAACCAGCAAATTATCATATAATTATCATAAATATTATCATATAATTAAAACAAAACAATATTATCACATTTCAATACGCTGCGTGTTGAGACTATTTACGTGCAATAAATATATCTATAATCGCGTTAGTGTTCGTTAATAATGATGAATCGATTCAAAGTTCATGTGGTAATATTATTGTCTGAGAATACTCGAGTAGGACTGCGCACTTTACAGTATTGCAGGAATCATCAATCTACACAATTATGATACATACTATTATTACTTGTTATTAATTAATACCAGAGTATAATATTTCAGATTACGTCGTAGAATGAACACAATAATAATAAAACGATAGATTTGTTATTTATCTGTATTTACTTGCACGAGGCGTTTTTAATATGCCTATGTTTCAAAGTTTTAAACACAAATAATAAACACACATGCCATCATAGCCTATTCCAAATTGATTTTTATGTACATTATTTCTTTTTAAACCAGACATGTATCCACTTTACACCATGGGTGTATTTTTCAATACTTTTTTCGTTACATTTTATTAATTTTCGACTACAAAATTTATGATTGCTGGTGATTATAACGAATCATGTTTTTCCAATTTAAAAAAATTGTATATCCACGTGTTTGTGATATTTGTATGTATCCATAACAACTTATATTATGAACTACTTGTTAAACTTTCAAACATTTTTACTGGGCCAAAACAATTTTATCCAAATAAAACAAAAAAAAAAAAAAAAAAAAAACGAAAATTTCAAATTGCTATGAAAAATAACATTATAACTGAAAACATTGTCCACCCAAAACCACTGTTGAAGTTTCTGATCGGAGCAAAATTTCTAATGTAAAAGTTGATCAAAAACTGGGAAAAACCCCTTCAATTCGCTCACAATCTAAAATATACTTAAATAATAAAATGGGATCTATATGTATAATTTGATGCATTTAGCATTTATACTGTGAAATAACAATAAAATTAAAACTTATTAGTTTATTACCTACCTATATATTATTATATCGATTTTGACTTATATGCTAATAAAAGGTTTTATAATATTTGTTCCTCGTAAATGTTTGAGTACTCACTCAATAGTTTATTAATGGAGAAGATTAAACCATCGCTCGTCGACCCGCGTAAATAGATGATGGGCCAAAGAAGGCCAAAAAGGATATTTTTTTTTCTTTTAACATAAATTAATAGGTAGAAACAACGTTTGTTTCAAATTTATTTACCTCTGAGAGGCACTTCAATGATATGATTTCTATAGGAAGTGTACGGAGTCTATTTTTGTGCAGCATTAACGATTTGAGATGTTTGAGATTGGCAATGGCCGGTGGTAAACTCTCCAGAACATTATCGCACAAATTTAACGCTTTCAAATTGTCTAACATACCCAAAGTCACGGGCACTTCAGATAGATGATTTCCGCCCAAACACAAAAACTTCAACCTAGAAAAAAAAATTATTAATTCATTATTATATAGTTGATATTATTAAATAATTATTTATCAAAAACGTATTAAATATTAATATTATAATATTTAATACCATGATGATGATTTAACGATAATAACTATATTGAAATTATATAACCTCCTGCAAGTCTACCGCCCCTCTGAGAAACCGAAGTGATACCGCCCGCGTTAAGAACTACACAAACTATTCTATACTACAGTGGTTTTCGAACTTTTTTTGAACACGACACACTTCGTTTTTCACAACATTTTCACAGCACACTGTGATTTTTTTTTTATTATTGTTTAATTTTTTACAAAAAATTAGAAGTAATAACAAAAATGATGATTCATACTCAAACGAATTATAGTTAAAAGAGTTATGACTTCATACTTAAAGAACGGATCATCGTAACCGGTGGCCCGTCACAATTTAAGGAAAACAAATTTCGAAAAACCGCGGCACACCTAGTGAATGCTCGCAGCACTCAATTTGAAAACCACTGTTACACTATATAATAATATATAATATATATTATTAGATAAATACACGAGAATCCGATTAAAGAGAAATCGCACGAAACAAAGTTTCAACTCCAAGGTAATCTTTATCAAACGTACATAACAATGTGTCCTTTGGAGTTTTATAATTTTATTAAATTCGTCTACATTATTGTAATAACAATATTATGATTAGGGCTCGGTTGTTTACGATATTGCATATTATTTGTCTGTTTATCCAATTCAATGCTAACCTGAATACAAATTTGATTCATGTTCTATTAAAATCAAATAATACTATTTTTATTTTACATATTTTTGCATATTTGATAGTTTTGTATTTTAAATGCATATTTTAGGATTTTTAAGAATATAAATGTATATTTCAGTAGGTACATTTTCGAACTTTAAAAAAAAAATTGTATTTTTTTAAAAATTTAAATTAATAGCGAAATAGGTATAAAACAAATAAGTACACAATTTGAACAAATTAAAAAAACCATTGTATCACACGGTAACGTTTTAATTGTAAATTAATATGTAATATTAAAAAAATAATAAACACAAATAACTACTAAAAAATCTGATAATAAAAATGAAATACTAAAAGTAAAATTAATTTTGCTGTGCATATTTTGGTGTTTTTTTTTTTTAACTACAAATGCATATTATATGATCTTTAGTGTATATTTTGATTGCATATTTGGTAATTTCTTAGTGCATAAATGCATACAAATTATAGTTATTTTAAGTGCATAAACATCTGAACCCTAATTATGATTTTTAAGTTTCATCGTATGTTCCTGGTATCGTTAAATTATTGATTATTATTCTGCTGGTATTTTGATGGTATAAATTTAAGAATACAGATTTAAGACTAAAGATTTTCACTGAGATGGGGGAGCATAAGAAAAGCTTTTATAGTACGTTTTACAATAATTCTGTCATTTCGCTTGAATATTATAGTAGATATTTTTAATTGAACACGAATAGTAAACTTTAATATCAATATCTATACCTACTTAGAAAATATTATTTTTTGAATTATATATATGTATCGAACAGAATAAAGAATTACAAAAAAGAAAAACAACTAACAAATTAACGAATAACTGCACAGTAAGACTCTATAACGTGTTAGAATTTTTAAATTTGTATTATCTATTTTATTACTGTCTTATCGCTGAGGTGTAGGAAATTTAATCGAAAATCACTATAATCATTTTTTCACAATTACACATTTTAAAATACTAATAAATTATTAGTATTGTATTTATATCAGCGTATAAAAAGCATTCAATTTTATGTGAACATGAACGTCTTATTTTTGTTCGTTTAACGTCCATTTGATAAAAAAACAAGTCATAATAATATTATCAATGAAACCTAATAATATTGGAATACAATCACGAACTAAGATAATACGGACTGGCAACAAGACAGGTGTTTGGTATACAATGCAGTCGAGTTTTGAGACGGGGAATACCTAAACGAGAATACAAGAACCGCAACGATTTTAGCGATGGTTTTCTGAACTGTAAAGGATGTAAAAGAAATAACAATAAAATATACGCTGTTGATGAGTTCAATGACGACTGTAAACGTGATATAATTTATCTATTTTTGTTTAATGAAAATTCCGTTTTGAAACTTCGAAATACCAATAGTTTATGTAGTACTAGCTGAATTACCCGGGGTTGCCCGGAAACAAATTCGTGACAAATTAGATAACGCCATGTATTACCATTTACCGTCTTGAATTCATAATTATCGATAATATACATAATAGCCTGATAAATTAGGAGTATTGGTGTACGCGCGATGCATGAGATTATTTTTATCGATAAACTTCTCGGAACAATTTTATTCTCGGAATCATTATTCTTATCTACACGACGACGACGACGACGAATAAAAAGGATAGGTTGCAGGTAGCCTGGAAACCCGCGGGCCGCCGTGCCGCACAATACGTATTGGCAGTGAATAATTATAATCGTTAATTACTCCACTAAAACGCAACGTTTTTGAAAATCCTTTCTTATTGCACGGTGAAAATACGAGAAGAACCTCTATTCCAAATTTCAAGTCCGTACGTTGAGTAGTGTTTGAGATACAGCGATCAGTGAGTCAGTGGTATTTGGATTTTATATGTATAGATAACTAATTATTGACTAACATTATCGGACTTTATTTATGCCTAAAACCTGCTCCGTGATATCCTCTTTCATTAAAAAAAAAAACTGCATGACAATTGGATAAGAAGTTTCGAAGCCAAACCGTAACAAAGATTTCCTCTTTTGCTTGATTTCAGTTTTATATATAAAGTAATATAAATCATTCAGCATTATTTTAATAATTAATTAATTAAATCCGGATTATTATCATTATGTAACACGGTTTTAAAAAATAAGATGCATAATAATCATTTTTGATATCTGGGGTTTTTCTGGCAACACTGAACGCGTGCATTTTATTGGACGACAAACGTGAACATGAAGAACTAGTTTAATTCTTTTGTTAGCGTTTCAAATATTGAGTATTGACTTATATAGGTATATATATATAGCTAATTTACTAACAAGCTAACAGTTGTCCAAATTTCGTGATGACCTGTAGGTAAGGTATATTATATATTATAAAACAAATAAACATTTATCATCGAGCAAATTCGCAAAAAATACTATTCTAGGTATTATATTAATATGTGTACCTTTGTATATCTATATGTTTTACACTTTAATATCTATAGTAAAACATAAATATGCACATTTTGAATAGATAGGTGCCAAATATATTACAGAGCATATGATTGAATAGCAATGGTGTATTTAGGAGGTATATCATAGACATATATCTTCCTTTCTCTTGACTTTTTTTTTAAAGAAAAGAAATGTACTTTTATAAGAATTTATATTTACTAAATTGCATTTTTTTTTTATCTAAATGATACCTACAGTTAACATTATATCGACGAAAACTTCTTGTTTAAAACTCATAGTAGAATCGCTTTTATGCGAAGCAGTTTAAGTTAGTTAAAAAAAAACTTATATTATTATACAAATAATGCCATGTTATTTGATTTCAATTTTAATTTTAAAGCAGATTATAAATTACTTTCGAAATAAATATGAATAAAAAAAAAAAATAGATTTTTTTTTAAATCTACACTAGAGGTTTCCAAACTTTTTTTCTGTACACTACTTGATAATTTGTTCTATTTTTCGTAGACTCCCCTGATTTCATTTATTGCCCCTATTTATATCTCATGCGCCTCCAATTTTTATTTCGATGAAATTGTCTACTTGCAGGTCAGAATAAACCTCTGGGGGTCTATATAGGCGACTTTGGGAACCTCTGATCTACACGGTCAACACGTGACACAATTTTGAAATTCAATATCTCATCCACTTTGAAAAAATTCCAAGTATACAGCTGACCCAATATATTGCGGTAAAATTAGCTTTCTGGACATCATAAACGCTGTAGATTGTTCGTCTTTTATTAATAAAAGGATTGAATAAACAAAATAATATACATATGTATATATTAGATTACATGTATTATGCACAGGTATAATAGTTTTCAATTGGCTGCAGTCAGCATTAAATAATATCATATTATACAATAATTATTTATTTTATAATAATTATTATAAAATAATTGTATAATTTGTTCTTACATCGATTTAATTTGTAACGATTATAATGTGATATATTAGTGGTAAATTATTATAGTTGTTGTGCTATAACAACCGAATTAATTATACGTAGGCCCATAGCTATTATATGTACATTTTACGCAAGACAGCAACAGCCGTAGAACTTGAGTTCTTTGACCTTTAAAAGGCCAAGGTCAAAATAATATTCAACTCTTCGGGTTTTGATAACATACAGTGTTGAATCAGGGGTGTATTCAGCTTATCTTCCGGGAGGGGGGGTGTGGCGAAATTCGAACTTGAATCATACTTATAAATTATTAGTTTTAAAAGTATATGTCTCTATAAACGGCAGTTTTGCAGATTATAAATAGATCGGCAGTTCAAAATTTTCCGATCGTTTCGCTTGCTTAAAACTTGAATAATTGATTTCTATTCACTTTGATAACTATTATTAGGAATTGAGGATAATAATAAGTATTGAAAAGAAAACTTGATAAAAAGCCCCATTGTGAATTAATATGATACATTTAAAAAAATAAAAAAACTCAAAAATAATTAGGTAGTTATTCAAAAACATGTTTTACGTGTATTATTGCTTATTGCATTCTATTGTTGGAAATTTCTTTATCTATGGGTATGTGTATCTTATTTTTCTAATTTATTGCTTGAAAAACCATATACAGAATAGTATAAAATAATAAACTGTAGGTATAGTCAGCAAATATATGTTATATTGTATATTTGGACTCGGGGTTTTTAAATAATTATTCTAGCATATTATTTGTAGTCAATTATTCATATCGGTTATAGTAAGAATATCTGGTTGTAGTTTTTGTAGTAGGTAAATATTAAATAAATATTTTTTTGCTTCGTCAGGGCTTGTCTTTTCTTATGTGATTTTTGGTCAGGGGCTTTTTATCCTAATACCATTATAAGCCATTATATGTAGCCATTATTTCGTGTATAAGTGTATTATGAATTTCAGTATTGAATATTAATAAAAACTACTAACACAAACGCCGAAAACTTCTGCAGACCTGCAGTGCTGTATGAGCACTACCATGGCCGTCTTTTCATTAAAGCTTATCAATTTTTGTTATGATATAGTTATCACGGCTCTATATCATCATTTCCCGAAAACAGAATAAGTTAATAACACGTAACATGGTTACGGAGTATAGAGAATAATCGTATAGACAATCACAATATAATTATTATAACCAACAGTAGATATATGTTGATAAAAGCTACAATATCTCTAATTTCTAATCAATCTCTTAACAAGTGTTTGATAAACATTTCCGCACATAGAAAAAATTTAATTTGTTTAAAAATGTTTGATTAATAATAATAAAATACATAAGTACTCATACATAAAACATTTTCAACAATGCCCAGGAGAGAGAAGCGATCGCCCTAAATCGCCCCCCCTTGTATAGGTCCCTGTGTTGAATACCTACACGCCGACGATGACAACAAGGTATTATTAATTATTATTAAAAATTATTAAGGTATTATAATAATGTGTACAGTGTTTACATCTCAATATATATTTATTTGACATAAGAGTTTGTTCGGGTTTATCGTGAATTATTGCAATAATTTTATCAATTATTATATGTATGGTCCCAGGGAAGAAAGACCTAAATCAATTGTGTATAGTTTTCAATTCGCAAGCAAATTAAATTTTGAAAATGCAAATGCAATTTAGATAAAAAAATAATGGGAAAAAAATTACATTTGACAAAAATATAAAAAACAATTTCACCTAAGCCCTTATATCTTTCCTAGGACCAAAACAATAATATTATATTAAAATATGCATTAAAAATTATTAGTATTAAGTAAATTTCTGTTCTATATATTTACCTATACTGCAAAACAGGAAATAACACACGAACAAAAAAAACAATTCAAACAGATCTTAATTCTTGTTTTTGAAAAGATATCTATGTACCCAGATTTCTAAATGTTCTTATATATATATATATATATATGTGATCTGCGTAGGTCTATATTAGGCTTATTTTTTGATGTGAGTTAGGTGTCATACCCCGTTAGATTGGTAATTTGCCATAAACAATATCATATTTTTATATTATTTTACATAACAATTTTTAAATTAGAAATTTCAAAAAATCCAAAAATTGAATGCTACTTTCCTATTGTGGTTGTACACGCGGATAGCGTATACCACATACTGTACGTAAGTAATAATTATTAAATAATAGAATGTCGAATAACAGTGACCAAACGAAATACACAGTCTTCTGATAATATTGTAAAAAGAGCAGTTTCACGATTTCGTATCCCCTGTCACGTCTCCGGGTCTACATCACATTCCCTGTTCCCCTAGGCGAATAATATAATAATCAGTGAACGCCTCAACAAATTAAATTTACTTTCGGTCTAGAGGATTTCAAAATGTATTCAATTATTTAAATCCCGTCGTAAAACTACCAGGAAAACATAAGTTTACATAAATTAGGAAAACATAGTTTCCGAATATTAAAAACAATCAAATCGGTAACGCCGTTGCGCCGTAAATATTTCCCATTTTACCAATTATTTTCTTTCCGGTTTTCCCCAATTATTTTGAAAATTCCTAGAAAATCGAAAAATGACCTTCGCAATGCATCAACTAGGGAAAATTTATTTTTAGAAAAGATGCTACACTCTACACATCGAAACAAGGTTTACAAATTCAAAAATAATAATAATAATAATAAAAATAAAATTACGCATCGTTAGTAAAACCGATAGAACCCTACCTACGCTCCGAATCTAAAATGATTTAATATTTATAATATTAATAATAATACACAGTTCATGCAATAAAAAAAAATTGTCTTATTTTTACCCCCTCCCAAAAAAAAAAAAATAATAATAATCCAGTTTTACCCTTTGGAGGGTAATTGCCCCCAGGTTGAAAACCGATGATTTAGAGAGACGATTAGTGAGTTAAAAAAATTAAAATATTTAAAATAATGCACTTAAATAGTATATTGCTTGTAAGTACCTATATAGAAAAATAAACATATGAGGGACATCTAAACATTTTTCAGTGGCGAGCGAAGGGAGGTTTTAAGGGTTCACCATCCTTCCTCTGCCTTTATAATGTTTTTAGTATAAAAAATCACAAGTAGTTACTATTATAGGTGGGTAGTTGAGAAGGATGTGTATTATACAAAATAATCTTTGTTTAGGGCTGCTACACGTGTATACGCGATATTAAAAATCTCGTGCTGGAGACCGTGTAATCCGGAATTCACGTAAACTCACGAATATCTACTTAGGATAAATACACGACGCGTATTCACACGTCACGTTGAATACGTGAATATTCAATATAAATATACGTGTATTTATAATACGGATACAAGGCTGCAATAAATTCTGAATTAGCAGTATTAGTATTTTTTGTTTTCCCCGTAGCCAAGGTAATCCAGAAATCAACAAAATGAATCCGATAATATATCGGTGTATGTATACTATATAGTTAAATTGTATAGAAAAAATTATGAGAATCTAGAAATATTTTCCAAATAAAGTACCACCAAAATGAATTCCGCATCTTTTAAAGCATTTCGTAAAAAAATCGAAATATAGCGTACTGGTATCGATAAAAAAAAAAAAAGTAAAAAAAAAACATAGTCTCAATAAAATCAACAGGTTGTTCATCACACCCGAAATGTGAAAAAAAAAAATACGCCAACACAATTATTATGATGATATTTTGTTCGACTTACCCCCGCGGTGGATTTACGGGGAATTGGAGGTCTAGGGTGTCTAGATCCCCCATCTCCGACACCTATATAATTTCGGAAAGTGTCTTCTAAAAAATGGGCATTTATTAATGGATTCCTTTGAAATACTTCCGATTTTTCAGCGGCGGTCGGGAGTAGCACGCCACTTTATTAATAATTAACGATTCATATAGTATCGCTACAATAGGTACTCACTAAGTAAATATTGAAATACTATTGCGCGCTGAAAATTCCACGGGTAGCGTAGAGCAATTTATTGTTGCCCGGTAATTGTTGAATGTTGAATGGTTCTTGAATCACAATAAAAAAGAACATTGAAAATAATGCATTTCTTAAAGTTTCCCGTTTTCCCGATTACTATGAAAACCGCTGGGAAAATCAAAAAATAACATTCTTAAAGTACCGCCCAGGTGAAATTTCCTTTCGAAAACGCAGTACACTTTACCATCGGAGTAAAATTTCCGGTAGAAAAGTTGTTCACAGGCAATAAAAAAAAGAAAAAAAAAAAAAAAAGAGTACAAAAACTAACATCGTAGTAAAACATTTCTCGATCCGCTCAGAATCTAAAAGTAACAATAGCGATAGCGAGTTTACTTGTCATCACTAGTGTACCTTAGAGACATCTGCGAATATCTCGGCCGGGGTCCACGGCCCGGCATCAAATTGCGGCTATCGTACAGTTACCGTCACAGACGTAATTACTAAATAGCCCGAATATTTCGGGGGAGCCTGTTGAGTCCCGTAATATTGATCACGCGTGCTTGGTATTTACTTGATTTGGATGGGAGGTCTCGGCTGAGTTTTAAACGGAAGGGTGAACCCCCCTCTAATTTGGAGAAATGGTTATCAGTCAGTGCCTTTACAGTGTACACACTCGACCGGAACGGGTAAACGATACACTTGATACTATAACACTATTGCCTATGATTCACATCGTGCGTTCGTGTACCCACGCGCACGTGTCCGAAACGCGTGAAACATGTGACCGATTACACAATTATATTTATATAAATACAATATACAATAATGTGTAAACGAGACGCGATATTGTATTATGATAATGCGTCTACAAACGTACGTATTCACGCGCGACACGATAATTCGCGCGCAACTGCTCGCCGCGTAATATCATTCTTATCGCACCAGTCGGTAAATACCGTAGATTATAGCACAATAACGTCGCCAACGGCGAACACTGCAATTATAATAATTATGGTGCCCGGGCACGTATTGTTACGTTATTACGGACTGTACCTGACAAGCCTGTTGATATCTTTGGGTATCTCGACCAGGTTGTTGCTGCCCATGTACAGGTACTCGAGGGTGGTGACCGACAGCAGTTGCACGGGAAAGTGCGACAGCCTGTTGCCGCTGATGTTGAGCACTTTCAGATGCGCGGACCGGCCGAACTCTTTCGGGAATCCGTCGTCGTCGATCAGGTTGTTCTTGGCGACCAGCGTGGTGAGCGGCAACCGGGCCACATAGTCGGGCACGCTGGTCAGCCGGTTGTTGCTGATGTCGAGCACGCGCAAGTGCTGGAACCGGCCGATGACCAGCGGCAGTGAAAGCATCGCGTTGTGGTTGAGCAGCATCGTGTCCACCGTGTCCGGGCGGCCGCGCGTGCACACGTCCTCCAAATGCTTGTGGATGGTGTCGCCGTCCAGCAGCAGGTAGTTGAGGTCCATCGTCCGGGCGGACGACACGTCGTCCGCCGGCGCGTCGCTGTCGCTGTTCTCCGACGTCGACCCGTAGTAACCGTTGAACATGTCGACGAACGTACGATGGCGATTACGCTGAAACGTCGTGGTCGCGACCGGTTAACAGCGGTACAGCACCCGCGAACGCCGTGACGAAAGTGACAGATTGTTTAACAGTTCGAAATACGAATGGACCCGTCGAGGAGTGGTATTGGGCGATTGGTGTGGTGGATGCGCGCGCGTTCGACGGCAAATAGGAATCTCGTACGGTCGCGGGGCCCGTTATAAACGCGCCGCGGACACTCGACCGATAAGCAGCAGACTTTCGTACGAGGGCTCTAGTTCAAATCCGATAAAACTCGCGGATCGCACGGACACCACAACAAAAATTACTCGTTGATTACACGAGCGCAAACAAATACGACGTTCCTAATATTCCTAATGCACATTACCACTACTATTATACTAAGACCGTATGCTGCAATACAGAGTGATTCGTTTATCACGAACCGGCAAAAATGTCGTAAAAATTCGTAGTGGACGGAGGTTTGGGGTTATATTGCCCACCCCTCGCCGCTAATAATACAACAACTATGAATATTTATTTTGTATTTTCATCTTGAAATGTGTTTAATATTATATATTATATTTCAGCCGAGTAACGGGGAAAAACTTGATTAATTGATTGAAAATCGACTTTTTCAGATCCGGCTTTTGAATTCCCAAAAACCTATTTAGTCGGAAAGAAGAATATTCTACGATTTATTCGCGATTATAATATGCTACGTCCTTTTTTTATTGAAATTCCCCGGGCACGCCACTTGATCATGATTTTCAACAACATCTGAAACCTGATATAAATATATAAAATAAAAAATATATTATTATATTATGCGTGATTCATTTTTAATTTTTCTTTAAAATTTATTTTCTATACAATATAAATGAAAAAGATTAATTTATAAAAAATGTTAAAAACGTCAAACGATTATTAGTTCTTTCATTTTTAATTTAAAATAATTTTTTTTTAAATATTTTTAAAACATATTTTATATGTTATTTCAACAATGTCACATGGCTGTAGGGCGGAGGTACAAATGCGCGATGGGTAGCGTCCTCTTGAGACATTTTAAAAACGTCTTCGAAACATTATTTTTAATATTCCTAATACGTTTTTAAAAAGATCGAAAAATATGTTTGTGTTGCCTGGGTAGGTATATCGGCAATTTGTTCAAAATGTTGGGTAACCTAATTCCTAATCCTATTGATATTGCTATAATGCTATTACCCCGCACCATATTAAAGGCTCGATAAATACGCCATAATATTGTCAACTACGTATTAATTTTAAAACTCATATTTATAAGCTCAAAATCGAAAGAGATTACAGTTATCTAAATAAAAATTGATATGCATATTATATAGGTATAATATACCTGGTATATACGACCTTTATGATTAGGTATAGGCAATGGACATTAATAGACCTCATACATCATTAGTTACCTTGTTAAAAGGCTAAATTTTTTAAAACTTTTAAACTTCACTAGTTTAATTTAAATTTAATTTTTGTTAGCTTTTAACTGGAGCATACTTGCTAAACCGAATTAATTTTTTTCATTAACTAGCCCATCTTTAGGTATAGGTAGGTATAACAGTTTAAAATATTAAGACCGGAGGAGGATAAGTGAACAGGAACTGTCTAAACACAATAGGGGCTATGCACATCAAAATTTTTAGAAAAAAAATTGACTTTTCGAAACGGAATTTAAGTTGTATATTATTGGTTAGTGGGATGTTACGATTGTCTAAGAATCACAAGTTGATAACCTGCACTTATTATGTTATCATGTAAACGCGTAGTAATGGTAAAACGATTTGTGAAAATGGCGTAAATAACTACGAATATCTAGATCATTCGAACGATTGTACAAGATAATAATGAATGAAAAAAAAAAAAATCTATTCTAAGTTAATGGGGACGGGTGTAGCCACTGTTATAGGTAATTTAATGTAAACCTGTATGTAACAATTAACCGTTGCTAACGAAAAAACGATTCTGAACGAAGTTCCGTTGAATTCGTAATAATTACATATGCATTGTATAAAATAAAGAAAATATTATTTTCTCTAATAATATTTGTTTAATATTAAACATATTTTCCCGTTTTTCCCATTCCTCTCTCCGCTCAGAATATAAAACCAATTCTAAAACGACAATAAATTTACTCAAAATCATTTTCGCCGATTTATATTAAATGAATACCACTGTATTAAAACTATACAATATTATATTATGATACGATATTATCGAGTACCACCTACCTTGGTAACCTATACGTAATATGCGGTTTATCTAATCTGGTAATCTCACACGTTGAGTGCTGCACCGTAAAGTGGTGGATATATTATTACAAACAGGCGCGTGAACAAAAAAAAAAATACAGGGGTTCATAATAAATTTAAAATAATCAATATTACCAATATAATCAATATTTATAAAAACAAATATTTAATAATAACTGGGAAAACCAGGATAATGTGTTAGAAAACCGGGAAATTTACGAAAATAATGCTTTTAATGTATTTCGATTTTGTTAATTGTTAAAATTCAGTTAAAAATATTCGTATCGACTCCATGGACTTAAAATTTGGACAGAACATTTAAATTTGTCTTTTCTAAACGTGGTAAAATGTTCAAAATGTTTAAGCCATTTTTGAGTAATTTATAGACATTTTAGTTTTGCGAGTTTTGTACGTAATTTTTATTTAGTAGGTTCTCTTTAGTAAAATTGTCAGACTTAACAGAAATGCTTGAAAATTTTAACAGAAGGTTCATTAAAAGTATTACTTTGTGGTAAAAAAAAAATTGAGTTTAATGAAATATTTTTTTTTATAAGGGAATTTTAATATCAAAATTTGATGAAAATCGTTAGGAGTAAAAAATTATGAAGAACAAATCTAATTTTTCAATTTTTTTTTTTTTTTTGAACATTTGTATACTGCCAATTTAAGAACGATGATGAAGTCAAAATTGAGCGGACTGGCTAAGTTTTGAAATTATAGTTTTTCGAAGTTCTGATATTATATGTTATGTTAAATAACTCTATATTGTACTTAAAGCATATTTGTCGTGATCTAATGATTATTTATGCCTATTATCACCCAAGGGGTCCCGAAATCAAACAAAATTATTTGCATTTTTTTCTCCCTTTTATCTAAACAAGGAAAAAAACAAATGTATTTTGAATGTACCTAGAGGTCCAAGGCATTACTCGCTCGAACTATTTTAATCGTAAAATAACTCTATTTGTTGTGTAAACTTTTCTACCAGAAATCTTGTTCTTGTATCAAGTGTAACCTATTTTCTGAATATCTGGGGAAAAACCGGTATAAAATGTCGGAAAAACGAAAAATGTAGGAAATATAGACATTAGTAAAAAAATATTATGAGCTCTTTTTTGTGTACAACTTTTTTACCAACAATTTCACTCCGATTTAAAATGATAGCACTTTTTCTGAAAGAAAATCTAATTGGAAAAGTACTTGATGGAGGTCATTTTTCGATTTTCCCAACAGTTTACCTAGAAAATGTGAAAAACCGAGAGAAAAATGGAGGAAAACGGGAAAAATGTAGGAAAAACGCGAAAATTGGTACAATATTAAACAATTATTATTAAAGAAAATATATAATGCCTATTTAATTATTTTACCATATTATGGCGTATATATTGTGGACAAAGCATCACTATATCAACTGAACTACACTCAGAATCGTTTTTTTCGTTAGCATTGATTTATCGTTCCTTACAGGTATACATTAAATTACCTATAACAGTGACTGTACCCATTTTCGTTAACCTAGAACGTCTTTTTTATACTGCGATTCGGACGAAAACCGAATTATTATCGTGGCGTTTTGAAAAACTCCGCTCAGCTCGATTTTTCACTAGCGACGACCCTATTTTGTTACATTTTAGTTATATAGCCATTTTAATAAGTAATACTTAGTTTTTAATTATTATGTCACATTTTAGAATATAAATACATGCTTAAATAATAATGACTAAGTACATTATTATATAATAAATTACTTAACTTCATATAAAAAGTCCATTTTATAATACAACTATTCCAAAGAGTTTAACTAAATTGAATCGTTTACAATAGAAATTTAATACAAACTAAATAACTAAACAATAGCGATAGTACAAAATAATATGGATACTCATTCTATATATTGTAATAAAGTGAATATTATATACATCATTACAATATTTTCATTCATAAATCGATTTCATTAATGACTATGACAATATTGACATATTTATTTTATAAAACTTCAAATTGTATAAAGATGACATTTATTACATTTTTATCATTTGTCCCAAATTGTATCATAGATACCTACTTTCTCAAACAGATTTCATGCATGCTAAATCTACATTATAGACCACTGTGGGTCGCTTTTCTAGATTATCGTGTACAATGATTTGTCATCGTTACATTCTGTAGGTACCTACTTAAAACCTAACCCTAGCTATGTGTAGAAATGTAAATATAAATGCCCTAGGTATTATACTTAGATAATATATTAAATGTACCGGGTATAGGTATTATTGTATCAGCTTAAATCTTCCCAACTTTCCACACACAATAATTTAATATGTAGCTATAGGTATTTGTAACTATTTATTTAAATTGTATAATAGGTATTTTTTATTAACAAAATAATTAAATAATAACATATTCTTTGCTACGTACACCTAGTACCTACATACCTATAAAAAAATATTCATATACAGTGTAGATATCAACCATTATGTCCGAAGTGTTTGGGTGCCTAACAATAATAAAAACAATTTATTTATATAGATAGGAACTAGGCTACCTACGCCATTATTAAGTTTAAAACAACCGTATTATTATAAATACCTACGTCCACATCAGTCATTGCGAATAGGCATAGGTAAATTACTAATTTTTCAATAAAACCGTTTTAATAATGGTTACACTAAATTCGTAATAGCTGGGTTTATTTAAACTTTGGCTTTTTCACTGAACACCGACAAAAAACTCTCACTTTTGAATCGATAAAAATACATATGTGTATATACATACATATGTGTAAATACATGCAGTATACCTATTGATACAGGTATCGAGCAGTTCTCCTTGACACAGCCAGTCGGTTAAGTTATAATTAATCGGTTAGGTTATGTACATACCTATCTGTATATCATTGCGATTCGCAAGTAAATTATCTATGAAAAATACAAGAATTTTAAACAAAACGTTGGTACGAGGTGCGGCAATTAAATAACGATGAGTTGTTTATAGCTTCTAAAGTGGTGACACTGATAATACCTAGAGAATTTGTTGACGTAATATTCACAAGTTTATGTACTAACGTCCAACACACCGCGTTTGATTGTGATAGCGGTCGGAGTTATACTTTGTACTCTGCGATTTTTTAAAATTAGTAGCGTAGTGTTGTGACGTACAAAAATGTGTGACGTGAAAAACGAGCAACGATTCATCAGTATTCGCAAAAGTACCTACACAAGCTGTCATTACTTTTGTCGCTTTTGGTACAAACGATGAAATTTGTTTTATAAATCGGTACAAACGTAGAACATTTAAATGGTATAATTTGTTCAGTATCCTATAGGTGTTAGCATGCACCCTCACTTTAAAACAGCTGTAATTTTGTTGTGCTTTCGGTACAAACGATGACATTTGCGGTACAAACCGGTACAAACGTTGTGCAAACGATAGTTCCGGATTTTTTTCCGAAAAACTCTAGTTGGGGATGCTGGGGACATGGAGCTGTATCGTCATCAAATTTCTTGTGAAATCTGGCAAAAAACCGGCCGAAATTTTTCGCAAATTGCAACGTGTGTTCGGTAATGAATGCTTATATCAATACCGTGTGTGTATGAATGGGCTGCACGTTTTGCATCGGGACGAGAATCGGTGCAAGACGATGCAAGGTCAGGTGTCCCTATAATCGTGTAAAATAGGCAAAATGTCGAACGTTTGAGAGTGTTATTGCGGACAAATCGACGCCTCACAATCCGAATGATACATTGAAATTCTTAAGGGATTGTGTCATCGAGTGTCTCGTGTGAGACTGGAATTAGTCAAAAAAGGTTGGGTCCTTCACCATGACAATGCGCCAGCTCACACATGACTAAAAGTTTAGCAGCTTTTGACCAGTAGGAACATTACAAGGCTCCCCCGTACAGCAATGATCTGGCTCTACCGGACTCTTGGCTACTTCCAAAGTTGAAGGAACCATTAAAAAGACATCGATATAGGATTTGGAGGACATTCAAAGTGCTGTAACGTGGGCGTTGAAGAGTTTTGAATACTTCCAAGGGTGTTTCCAGAAATGGGAAGAACGCTGGACTAAGTGTGTTAGACTCTGAAGAGAGTACTGTTAAGGTATGGGTGCATAAATAATTGTAAATAATAAATACATTTTTTAAAATTAAAAATTCTCGTTATTTAATTGCCACACCTTGTATACCTATACTTACTTAATTATCAAGTTTTGTAAGTCTAGGACGTAGGTATAATAGGAGACAAAAATATCAATTCTCAATATGAGTAGGTACCTACCTGAGAAAAACAAAAGTAAGTATTTATTTAATTACACATCTAGATTGTATCTAAGGCACAACCGCACAGGGTTAGAAGGGTAGTTCGTGCAAATAGGTAAATACTGTGTACCAATGTGTAATGACTAATGAGTATAAGAGTCACGAGACATTCAATGCATTTTAAATGGTGAAATTCTAACAACAACTGCCTCCAATATTCATCATAGCAAAACTTCTCTACAGTCGTATGGACTACAACTTCTTTTTTAACCAGTATAATCAAAAGACTACATTTACCTACATCCAATTTGTTACTTTTGCTTCAATATTATTAGACTGAAACTTTTTTTCACCGAATAGGAAGGAAAGACATTTGATCGCAAACATGTCCTATTAAGATCTTTAAAATCTAATAGTATAACTATTACTTAGGTAAATTTAATAACCTCTACAATATGTTTAGGAAGTACCCACATCTAAATGTGGATGTGGAGAAGAATAACCAAGACAAGATGGATAAAGAAGAAGAATAATGAGTGTTGGGAGAAATTAAAAAAAGAAAGCAATTAATGAAATTGATAACAGCCAGAAAAATCAAACTAATAGGTCACATAAACTGACACTGATAACATGATAACTTCATCAATAACATATTCGAAAGAAAAATACTAGGAAAGTAAACTTGAGGAAGACCAAGAAAAATATACTTTGAAACATGTAATACAAGATTCAATGAATTACTGGTTGTTCATGAGATAGTGTTTGTAAGGGATAGAAAGTGATTTAACCGACAATGCTTGGCCCTTAGAAATTAATGATGACAATATTTTTGAAACACTATTTAACATTGTTTATGGTATTTGGTTTGAATTAAGTACCTATCTACCCATACACTTACTTGTCCATACAGTGATGTGCATTTTTTACATGAAGGGAGGGGAAATCATAATAGGTAATAGATGGTAACTGTATAATTAAAAAATGATTGATTTTTAAATTGTTTTGAAAATAAAGAGTGATTATTGAAAGATACTAATCTAAAATAATCTTTAAAAAAAAAAAAAACAAATTAAACGAGTAAATCTACAACATTATCGTATAGGTACAAAAACGAATATATATTTCAATTTAATTCTTAAGTCGATGAGACCTAAGTGATGTACATAATATTTTAACTATAAACAAATATAAAATCTATTGAATATAATATGATGTAAGTAATACAATGTTAAAATGTAATTATGATTAGGGCTCGGATTGCATAATAAATAACAAAAAAAGCACACAATTGTTTTAAAAAAGCAAATGTGACGCATATTTATTTTTTAGAAGAAAATAGAAACAAAAATTAATATGAATTAGTTGTACAATTGAATAAAACAAATTTTAAAATTAATTTCCATGTATTTTGCAAGATTTTCAGTAGTGAAAATGATCTTATTGTCTGACAGAATGTTTTTATACATAGAAAACGATCACAATAGTTAAAATAAATGTCGGTGTTTAAATTTTTAATTTGCATCAATTCATTGACAAGATATTCCACTTTTATGTTTTAGTCTGGGGAGAGTAGTGGTACATTCTTAACACTGTGCTGTACCACCACACAAATGATGCTCCACTACTTTCCCCCAACCAAAACTTAAAACTGGAATTTCTCGTCAACGGATTGACGGTTATTTAAAATTTCAACACCAAAATGTATTTTAGCTAATACTCCATCTATTTATGGAATTTTTAATATAGGTTGTTATTAGAGAATCAAAAGTAAGTAGTTGTTTTACTCCCGAAAATTAAGGTGACAAAAAATAATGTAAATGTTAATTTTTAGAACAGCTTATTTCTTAAATGTTCATTAAAACACATTTCGAAAAAGTAAATAATTTCTGAGGTAATGAGTGTATTATGATAGACTGATCACCCCATATTATATTTTGTTTATATGTTTAATCTTAAAAAAAAAAAAAATAGTAAAATAAACCTATTATAAATAATATTTTATGGTTTTAAATTATACTGTAATACACACTAGATAATACATTTTTGGAATGATAAATCTGTATCTATATGATACATATATTTTAATTTTTAAAATTAAAAAACTTAATAATTTATAAATATACAATAAGAGACATTAAATATAGTTCAGTTGTAAGTTAACAAATTTTAATCCTCAATTCCACTTAAAAAATAATGTAATACATATTCATCTTCTTCTATTGAACAATGTAAAAGCAGGTCTTCCACTACATGGCATAATATTTTGGACAAATTTAATGTCTCACAATTTAAAAATTGTGAAAATTTTTTGATATCAACGGTTGTAGAATAATTTTTTTCATCATCTGTAAAAAATTATTAAATAAATAATTAATATACATGACAATAAAATGTATACATGTTTTTGTTATTTGTATTTAATTAAAACTAAAATAATAATGGAGATCAATAATCTAACTTAAAAATAGTGTCCAGGTGCATACTGGGTCGCCAGGGTATCGGGAATTTCCTGGTGGGTTCTTGATTTATACACGTTTTACTATTCCTATTTCCTTAAATTACGTTTTGTAGTTTTGAGATTTCTTAAATAGGTAGGTTGATACTCGAAGAATGTTTATAGAGGGGTCATATTTAATAATTTCTTAATGCAAAAATAGTATCTATGCCTGATAGTATCCTATATAACCCATTTGGTATGATTAGAAACCAGATTAATATATTCTTAAAATCCACCAAAAAAAAATGTATAAAAGCAAAAAAAATAATAGAGGGCTTTAATAGTTTCCCCTCTAACGAATTTAATTTATTTTTACAAAAATACATTTTTTAACACCAAAAAAGGGTTAATAAAAAGTAATTTGTGTAAATCATTTTTATAGTATAATGAAATTTAATTTAATAATTTAGAGCCATTAGAGGGGGACTTAAAAACCCTTTATCATTTTTACTTTTTAAATGTCTTTTAGTGCTTTTTTGGTGTTTTAAAGTAACTTTTTGTGGATTATGAAAGAATATAAATCTGGTCTCTAAACCATCTAAATATTATATTGTTTATTATCAAATATCAAAGTGAATAATAAATAATCGCAAAAGTCAATCAATCAACCTATCAAGTAATTATACTTCATTTTACCTAAATTGACTAAACTGATAAATTTTTAAATTTATATTTAAAAAAAATATGAATTGCCTATATCTGTGCTTATAAAAGGAAAATATAATAAATATACTGTCATTTGTTTGTGGAATGTAATACTTAAAACGAAAAACTTCTAAAATAGTAATAATATGTGTACATTTATATTGTGATAACGATAATTTCAAACAAAATAACTAACCTGTTGTATTTTGTAAACCAATTATTTCAAGACCAGTAAAATGAGTGTCTACGGTAGCTGAAAAATTTGATACTCCTAAAACCATTTTCCCCGTAGAGCCCAATGTTACTATTAGTTTCGGACAAATACGTTTCATTTTGTCAACAATATGTCGTACTATTCGTATTGAAGGCATAACAACACTAATCTAAAATAAAATATACACAATAGTTTTTATTTTTATTAATATAAATAAGTATAACAATATTAGCTAATTAGCTATAACACCCATGTAATAAATAGAAACCGAAAAAAAATTATATTAGATTTTCATATTATAAGAGCAGTAGTATTTTTAGGGGTTAAAATTCAGTGAAAAAAAAGTATATTATATTATTAATCACTGAATCTAATAGTGTATTTAACTAAAGTCTAACTCTAACAATTGAGCATATAGACCTACGGAAACAGACAAACATGCGAACATTTGAAATCTATAAATAATTCTCATTTCTTTTTAAATATATATCCAGTCCCCATTGATTACACAGCTGTTATTTATATATTAATTTGGTTTTTACAGTCGTGAGGTTACGCTGTGACGCTGTTATAATGTAGTCTATTATTCAAATCCCACCGCAAAATGGAAAAATATGTTTGTAGTTTATAGAAATAATTTTTTGAACCCCTTGAAATTGTAAAACTATATTATTTAATTTTATACATAAAATATTTAATAACTATATTAAAAACTTAACATATTAACATATTGTTACATTATGAGAAGGTATTGATGGCTCATTATACTCTGACCAGTCTTTTGGTAATATAACACTAACTGGAATATCATGAACACACAACTGTTTACTAGATACTTGAGATTCCTGGAAAAAAAAATTATATAATACATAATATAAAATGTATGTTCATAATTATTTTACGAGTTCTAATTCAATGGTTAAACATGGTGATAATTTATCAGTCAATTTCATCTTCAGTGTTTTTAAATTTGATTGTTTTGCAGAGCTCAGTGAAGATGCAAACATATCTGAAAAAAAACACATTTTGTCCATTAAATTTTTATAATTAAACATTTTACAATAATACATACCAATTGGTAAACTGAAAAAAATTTCATTGGATTCCGTCTCACCAATAATGTTATATTCTTTAAAAAACGACTGTTGGTCTAACACAGACCAAACACTGATTTGATTGTTATTCGATTCATTTAAGGCAATTAAGTATAATTTAGTAGAACTCAATCTTAAAACTACACTTTTGCATAACTTAGATAAAATAATGACAATACCTAAATTTAAAAATAATATAACAAAAAAGTATGTAAAAATTATTACCTACATTAAAAATATAGAACTACCTATATATAAGTTATATTTTTTACTTACTGTAAAATTGTTTCATACAATTGGGATCAATAATTTTACCACGAAATTTCATTATGAAATATTTTATAAAACGTAAATTACATAGAAAACAATTTATTAAACAATACGGTATATTTTAATAAAATTAAAAAAAAAAAACACTAATTTATAAAAATTAATTAAAAAAGATCACTTGAATTACCTATTGATATTTTGAAGTTTATTATCTAACTTGTTATCAATTTCTAATTTTTTTTAAATTCCCGCCCATTAGTTTTAAACCTCCTTGCCTTATAAAAAACTTTGGCTTAACTTTCCTAGTCACCTATAATTTGGTTATTCTTATTTAAATTCCCTTATCATATCAGCTGTTTTACTTCCAAGTTATCTATTTAACCCAACCCAAATTATGCTCATTTCAACAAAACCAACTAGTTATCCAAAATATTAAGGTGCTCTGACTGGGCGAGTTTTTGTAGTCCGTCATGTTATTTTATAGTTACTAGATTTCATTGGTTTTATAATTTGATCAAGTATAACATTATTTATTGCAACAGTTATTAATCATGTCGGGCAAAGACAAATTACCAATCTTTCCATCTCGTGGGTAAGTAAAAACATCTGTAATAAGATAGACAAAATTTGGGCGTTGTCTATATTAATTGAAACAAACTATTTTAGTTATTATGTAGGAATTATGCTAACAAATTTAAATAAAACAATTTTATATTTTACATAAAATGTATGTTAAGTTGATGTTTTTCAAACAAAAGCCAATACAAAATATATACATAAATCGTACAGGATGTAAATTGGTTAAAATGTATCATTTTATTGTAATTTTAATTATATTTAAGGGCACAGACAATGATGAAAGGGCGTCTTATGGGAGCACAAAAAGGCCATAGTTTATTAAAGAAAAAAGCAGATGCCTTGCAAATGAGATTTCGTATGATTCTTGGTAAAATTATTCAGGTGAGTTGTTATATTTCTTCAATCGTTGATAATTCTTTATCAAATGCTTAATATTTTATAATAACTTATTTTTTTTATTTATAGACAAAAACATTGATGGGTGAGGTCATGAAAGAAGCAGCATTCTCTTTAGCTGAAGCGAAATTCACAACTGGAGATTTTAATCAAGTTGTCTTGCAAAATGTAACAAAAGCTCAAATAAAAATTCGCACTAAAAAAGATAATGTTGCTGGTAAATAAAAATATTTTTCATGTTAGAATATAATCATAATAAATAGTTTTAATTTAGGAGTGACATTGCCTGTTTTCGAAAGTTACCAGGATGGTACAGATACTTATGAATTAGCCGGTTTAGCTCGAGGTGGTCAACAGTTGGCAAAACTTAAAAAAAATTATCAAACAGCAATTAAACTTTTGGTCGAATTGGCTTCATTGCAAACATCTTTTGTTACATTAGATGATGTTATTAAAATAACAAATAGGAGAGTGAATGCTATTGAACACGGTATGTATTTATAATGAAGTACATTTGTTTCATCATGTTTTATGTACCTATTTAAAAATTGATATATAATAATTCATTTTCTAGTAATCATACCCAGAATTGAAAAAACCCTTGCATATATAATATCTGAACTTGATGAATTAGAGCGAGAAGAATTTTACAGGTATATAACAATAGAAGTATAACTTTTGCTATGATTTATAGTTGATTTTTCAGAAATTTAATATTACTTAAATATGTTGTTACATATTGATTTATGTTATTAAGGTTAAAGAAAATTCAAGATAAGAAGAAAATTGCAAATAAGAAGAAAGAACAACTTAAGCAAGACAGAAAAGAGGCCGAGTATAGTAACATGTTGGATGAAGGCGATGAAGATTTGTTATTTTAATTGAAATGATATCAATGATGTCCTTGAATAAACACAAATTAGGTACTGCGAGGATATTAAGTATTTGTTTTCTTATTAAAAACTGAAATGTTTTTGTATTTCATTCTCTTAGCAATTAATATAAAATCAAATTAAGGGTTATATTGTACACAATACTAAATCATCATTTTCAGTTACCATGTAATATGCCCATTCATCCTCATTAAATGTAGAATAATGAATCCAACAATTAATGTAACTAAACTCAAATTGATTTTTAATATAGCCAAAAGTATGGACCCTAAAAGTTGGTAAATTGTTATATTTCAAAAATAATTTTAAGCGATTTTAGGATATGCAATAGGTATTTTATTAGATATTATTTAATTGGTTTATATTAAATTAGAATTTATGTCTGTCATAGATTTATTATGGTATAATGTTTTAATATTTTTATGTAATAAACATTCCATCATTTATCTAAGTATCGAGAACATTTTGGCACAGACCGTTAGTGTACCTATAATATGTAATAAAAAAAATTATTTTAACATGAATATTGATTTAATTGTTTTTTCTTAACTGCTGTGTAATACTGCCTAATGCTAGAAAAAAAAAAAAACTATGGCTTTAATTTAATATATTGTGTGATATATTATCAAATAAAAATTTAAAATTATTATTATGTGCATCATTTTTTAATGGTTTAATATGGTACTGATTATAATAGTATTAGAAACGGTAAAGATAAAGTATTAAAACTATATTCCTAATAATAATATAATTTACAAAATTTAAATTTTAAACTATTTAATTACTATTGTACTCATATTATTTGGAAACTGAGCTTACGGTTAATATTAAAATTCATTATCTACGTGTATTAAATCTATCTATTTTAAGACCCATTTATCTATGGTTATGGTTTATGGACTCAAAAACTACTAAACTGATTTTGCTGGAAATCACACAGTTTATTCTTGTTAATTTTAGGAATAGTTAGAATGTTGTTTGAATCTGATCCATAAAGTGGTGTTCATATAGAAAATTTGTTCTTAAAATACAAAAATTAAATTCTGTTTTGTTTATTTCTAGTTTCATTGGTTACACGAGGAAAAAAACATTTTATAATCAATTGTGTTTTTTTCATGTGGAAACACGAATTAATTTTTTTCCATTCATTACTGTGCATGGACTAAGTCATAGATATATAGCTAGTGTTTATTATTGTAATTAAAGATATTAATATTATCTTATACTTGATTCGATTTGTATTTAAAATATTTTATTCTTTAAATCATAAAGTTTCAAAGTAGGTATATTATATTAATCCATTTTACATTTTTACATTACACTAAAATATTATTAGGTAGGTACGAGGAAGACACTTCAAAATTAATATCTAAAATCTAGATATTTGATACTTTTCAGAACTGTATCATCATACTCAATATGTGTTTAAGATACTGCCAACCATGTTTTGAGGTATTTACACTATACACAATAGTTAATGCATAAATATGCATTTTTAGAAGAATAATTAGTAAATTACAGACAAATAATTTTTGTTTATTTTGTAATTTATCATTTCATAGGTATGTGGTCTACTAAGCTAATTTGGAATAGTTGCCTATCTATTTCAATTTTCAATGTGAAATGATAATTAATATTTTTTTTTTTTTATAAAAGTAACAGATTGGCCACATTTATATATACATATATATATTTATATTTATTTAGGATGTTTTATTTTACACTCCATACATTTTTAATATATTATTAAACTTTGTAATATGGTTGAATTGACTAATATAAGTTTTGTAATTTTAAATTCTGAGTGGAACAAAGAAGCTTCTGGTTTTACAAAGATGTTATTTATATATTTTTTAGTTTTAGATTGATATTTAAAATATATTATATAATTATTATTATAGATAAAATGAAATATTACCTATTATTTAATTTCATAATTATTGATTACCAGCGGTGAATATTATTATTATTTGTTTTTTCTTTTTAACTTGTCTAGTTAAAATTATATTTTTAGTATTTATCTACATAGATAGGTAGTTAATTCATTTTTACATTGCATAAACTCATCATTTTACAGTTAATTTTTCATAAACTTCTAGTTAATACCAAATAGGTAGGTCGAAGATATTACAATTTTTTTTCTGAAATTTAAATATGCATTCAAATTGAACTTGTATTAGTACATTATACAATCAATATACCCTAAGGCACCCATATCTCAGAAAGTATACATTTTTTTCAGAATTTGTTTTATAGAACAGCCTTCGACAGACGACAGACTGGATGCAGTATAACGGGCAGAATACAGAAGAAATTAAGATACGAAGAGATTCGAGAAATGTCTAGAAAATAATAAAGTAAAAACAAAATTATTAAATGGTTAATACTCGTAAATAAATAAATAAATGAATGTGTCGCCTAAATTAAATTTCTTAGATCTTATTGTTTCCATAATAAAAAATAGATTTTATTTTAGTATTTACTGGAAATCTATACAAACTAATGCTATAATAACAAATCATTCTAATTACCCTTATTCTCAAAAAATATAATTTTTTAATTCAATATTCTATAGACTTGAACATATCACATTAAATAAACATAATTATCAACAGGAGCTCAATATTATCTATAATTTTTTTTTTGCATATTTTTATAATTTTTATGAGAATATTATGAGAATATTTGTAAGATTATCAAGATAATATTTTTTAGATATATTAAAATAACATATAAACGACATATAAATGTACAGTTACCCTCAACAGTGCTATAAATAATTCACTTAATTCACATTAATTGTATACATTATATATGATTCTGACTAAATACAGTATGCATGTATTAAATGTTTTTTTTTTTTTATATTAAATTTTCGTATCATATGCTACCATCTAATAATATGATTTTTATATCTATGAAAATGAAATACAAAAAAAAAAAAAAACATTGATCACTAAATATATTTGTGATAAATTTATTTAGGTATTATGCTATAATACCTACAATGTTATTTTGAAAAAAAAATAGAATGATTTATAGTAGATATGTATATGTATTACAATATCTACTTAATTGGTATTGATAGTGAAATACCTGAACAAATCTCTCTTTGAATCATGCACATGGTTTTGAAAAAAAAAATATTTAACTTCTCGTTGAATTTAAAAGCATTACAGTAATAATAATAATTGAAAAATGGATTAAAAATATTTTGTTTAGGTAGGTATTTTATGTACATTTAATTTTAGTATGTACAGAACCATGCTAGTAAATCTGTAATAGTGAAGTAACATCGTGACCCTTTAATTTCCAGACAATTATACTTAGTATAATTTTATATTTTTATATTAAAAGGTCCATGTAGATATTAACCTTCATAATAGAATAGAAACAGAAAAGATAAAGGTATTCGGAAGTCAGTTAATTAGACGTTAGACATTAGTTACAAATTCACTTTGCAGCGAATTCTCATTCAGAGCGAAAAAAATGGGGAAGTTGTTGAGTTAGAATAAATAAGAATAAAATATTTTATTAGAAATAAGAAAAATATTTATAATTATAGGTATTTTTTTTTTAAAAAAACAGGAAAACTATTCAATTTCGACTATTATCATGGTGCAATGCAATTAATTAATGTTACAATTTGTTTTTTTAGTAATCATTAATTGTCAGGGCAATGTCACGGTAACAATAGTGTTGAGTGGAATAATACTACCAGGGACGGATTGGAACTTTAGAGCGGCCTGGGAAAGTTATTATGTAGCAGCTCATATCTGGGAAGGGGGGCATCGAGGCAACCTGCAAGTGTACCTTGTTGCCCCCCAAGTCAATTTTTTCAGTTAATTACGATTTTACGTTATATTTTTTAATGATATACAGTCAAATTCGCGTATAACGATGCCGTATATAACGATATTCCGGGTAAAACGATTCCAATCGATGTATTTGGTTGGTTTTATATGTTATGTATAATACTTTTATTCGTATATAACGATATCGGTTATAACGATAATCCGGATATAGCGATGTTATTTTAAAACGAAAATTGGTTTTTATAATCATCCATAGCGATTAATAATATGCATGTGCATTGTACATTGTGTAGTAAATTTGATATCGTCCAAATCGATAATTCTTAATCGTATCTGTAACAGATAATGTGTCTTGTACGACCGTATTGTGTACAGAATACCTACGTTTCTTGGTCGTTTAGTTGCCGTTTTGACAAATATATGTTTAATAAATCAATTTTTCAAAAAAATCATGTAACTTTTTATGATCCGGATATAACGAAGTTCGGTTATAACGATCAGATTCCCTAGGTCCCTAGAAGATCGTTATAAGCGAATTTGACTGTATATTATAGCATATTAATTGAATTAACAATATGTATAACATAAATTGTTATAACCAGCAATTATCCCAGAGGATTTTAAGTGAATTTGATTTCTGTTTTTTCTAATCTTTATGGAATTGTTTAAGCTTTATTTACAAATAATCTTTTTAATTTTTTATCCCTACTTCATATACCTTAGATAATGCTTACAGCTAATAAGATAGGTAATAAATTGCTTTCTTCGGTCTAAACTGTTAACTCATAAACGGTAAATCTGATATTAGCGTTATGCATATCAAAATTTCTGGAAAGATATTTTCTGCTCAAATCTGTGTTCAAGAGATGGGGGTACCTATTTGAAAATCAAAAGTAAGTACTTATTTAAGGTATAAGGTTAGGTTTAAGGTATAAAAGATACAAAAACGTTTATTTTTTTGTTTTTTTAAACAACTGTAGGTAACTTTTTTAACAGTTCATAATTCAAAAAACACCGATTACATTCCCTCTTATTGTCCTTAATAAATTTCATAATGGGCGGTTTTACTCTAACATTAAAATTAAGCTAGTTTTACTCATTCTGGGTAAGCATTGTTTTTGTATGTTACCGGTAGTTGGACAGAATTTTCGTTACACTCGCCATACAATTAGAAATGAACAATTACGAATTAAAAATGTTAATTGAAAAATGCGAACAATTAACCCCGACTGTGTCGGACTGTCGGCTAAATTGTACTCGGTTACACTGCGAGCCAGGAAGAATAAACACCATAAATAAATAATGTTAATGAATTAGAATTAATTACAACAGAAAAAAAAAAATTATATTTTTTCTTTGACCCCTTCGCGGCGCCATTCAACACAATAAATGCATTTACGCTTTCGTCCGTGTCAGCTGTACAAATTTAATACAAGTATAAAGCACTCGGCGACTAGTGCGCGCGCGTATTCGAAGTGCGTTCCAGCGGCGTTTGTTGCAGTAATACTGGATACGACCTTTTATCGAATATCCACTACACAAATCGGTAAGTACACCGACATATCGGATATGAATACATAATATATTATTACACCTAATATAAAATTATTAATTAAGAAAATATATATAGCAGCCACAATTTATACCTGGTATAGGTACCTACCGTTGATTTTACAATAGACATATAGCTACGGATAGATTACTACCCCCACACGGCTTCTAATTTCGAACGTTTTTGGCGTGTGTCCAATTATTTGTTAAACAGGTTCCCCCAGCTATATATTTTTACGAGGACTTTGATATTCACTCAAAAGAGCCAATAGTGGGAGGAGGGAACTTGGGTAGGCTTAGCCCGTCCGGTTTTCGTACGTAATGTAATTCCCGAATCCAATGTGTATAATTTACCAAAAATAATGTGCGGTTGTATTTTTAATTGTTTTTAATTTATCAACAATGTTTAAAATAATATACCGTTATCATCAAAGAATAATATAATACCTACCTATAGTGTAAGCAGTTTTTTTTTCACGATTAATTTCATTTTTGAAGAATAAAAAAAGGTACAGGCATTGATAATATATATTATCTTTGGGCACAGGTAAGTACTGTTCTCACCGTATATTCAATAATACTATACATTTATACACATTATTATACTCCTCACGTCATTAAAAATAAACAATTATAAACAATTTCTATACTAATGAACTTAAGAAATTACTTAGCCCTTTTTTAATATCACAACTTTTCTAACTTGAGTTTTTGTTTTTTCTTAGCAAAGGTTTTACCGCGTAGTTGACGGAGGATTTTTTTTGGGATATTATTATTATGTACCTAGATATATCACACATAAAAGTATTTACTATATACTTATACAGGTTATTTATTATTTATCAAGTGTAGATAATTTAAATTATGTTTTGCTATTTGCGTAGGCGCAGATATAGAACACTAACTTTGGGAGTGCTAACATTATGGACACATTAAAGACCCATGGGAACTATGCTCCCATAATCCCCTTTACACGACTCTCACAATAAGCAATTACACATTTTATTTACAATTTTATATAGCTAGGTATACACACAAATTGAATAGAAGGTATTTTAACATTTTTCATACATATAGATAATATCGCAAATACATTGTAGGAAATCTGTATTTTGTTCTGTTCGTGAGTTATGAAATTCATGGATAAAATATTAAGTTGTTACTATGAAAAACCTTATTAGGTTTTTTTGGAGGTGCTTAAAACCTTCTAGTATCTCCATAGTTGTGCTTATATGACTATTCATATGGTATATTACATGGGAAAAAAACGAATCCCGGGGCTTCTCACCTATTGATTTTTGGTAAAACTTATGTATAGGATATAAAAAATATTTTGATCAAATCCGAAAATGATTATTGTAGTTTAGACTTTTTTTACTATGGTACCTAACAATTAACCTTGAATAAATGCACTCCGTTTTTTTTTGTATTTATGAGTTTATAACCATGCCATTTTTACTTTATTTTATTCATTATATATTACTTTATTTATTTTAAATACAATAAAATTGTTGAAAGCGATTGTTCTTTGGGCTTCGATCTTAGATCTAAATCTCAACATTTTAAAATGCATTTTCTTATCGTTTTTCTGGTTTCGATGTCCGTTTGTCTTTGACTACGATATCTGTGGGTCTAAGCTCGTTTGTGCATAAAATATAGTCAATGACTCGGGCATATTTTTTGATACGTACATAATGTTCCAATCACATATTGAAGCACCTTGTTGTAAAGCACTTGAAATGCTCAGTTTTGTTTAGCGTGTCTGTGTTCAATTTAAATTAGTTACGTTCATTAAGTCTCTATACTTACACTGCTCTAGAACGCTCTATTTTGAAGTACCTATGCGTCTATTAAGTGGAATCCACATACCATCAGTTATAGTTGATATGCTTTGGAGTAAGTGCAGCGGAAGTTCTTGTCCTTTACTGGGTACATGTTAAAAATGGGACACATGTCACATAACTATTTTCCAGTTTTTGCTTCCTTGCAATTTATTGTTCTCGCTAGCAACAGAAGAGATCAAGCAAATTAAATGTTTTTAAATAAACTCCTCTCAGGGCTTATAGACACTCCTTCTTCGATGCGTTAACCATAAGATATCTAATTTTTCTTCCCGTAATGTTTATCCTTTTTATGTTCATCTATGTTCGACAAACTGTAATGCTAAAGGCCTCTTACAAGAATGATGCGTGTTGCTAATGTACAACTCACCTTTTCTTCGTGTTATTCTTTTTAATTTAGTCTTGTTGTTTAAGTATGTTTGAAATTATTTAATGCTAGTTAGTCCTATTTGTATGTTAACTATTGAGTATCATCCTGTATCGTTACAAATAAAATATTATGTTTTGTTTAGGAAGACATAAGAGACATATAGATAAACGTTCATATTTATATAATATAGCTGTCCCGGCAATATTTTGCTATTGCTAGATTTTATTATTATTATATTTATTTTTTCTAGCTGAATTAACAAACAATATTCAGTATATACCATAGATACCAAATAATCAAAAAAAAATTATTAATTTATATTATTTATCTGTAATATCTACTACAGATATTAAAATTGATTACGTAAATCGCAGTAGCATACACAGTGGCGTGCCCAGATGGGAGGGGAATTAGAGGTTATATCCCTCCCGTTGACTTAAAAATACAACAAAATATGAGTAATCTAATATCAAAACTCATTCATTTTGGACGATTTCCGAAAAAAAGCTTGATGTATTGATTAGAAATTAGCTTTTTTTAGGATCCGGCTCTTAAATTATCAATTCGCATAGCCGAGTTGGGTAGAGAAGACAATTTTACTATTTTTTCACGAATTTTATTTGTTATATCCCCTCCCATTGATCATTTTTAGGCACGCCACTGAGCATACATTCTATTTTCCAATTAGGTGAGGTGGAAAATTTAATTTCCAAAACAATTGATGTGTGAACAAACGAATGAAGTTAAATTTACTGAAAAATCCTCGACATTTTTAAATCAAATAAAATTCCACACTTAAAGATTACCTAACCTATTAACTTGAAAAAAATAACATATCTACCTAACTATTCATATAGCTAAAGCTTTGAAATTTAAGTTTAAATAAAGAAAATTATAAAAAAATATGTTAATTCTCTTGCATTATTCATAAATTTCTATCGTTGAACCTATCTAATACTTATTTGATATGTTTCTTATTAAAGTTACCTGTAGACTTTATTAATGAATAGGTAAAATTATTGAAATTTTCAATATTTTATAAATTGTTGTTCTAGCTAGATAGTAAATAATAGTACTAGGTATTACAAGTTAAAATAATATAAATGCACCTATAGTTACTATATTAATTTGTGCTCCTAGTCATATGGGATCCTAGGACGTGATTACACTTATCACTATTACTCAAGGTTAAGTCATAATATGACTAGATTATTATTTTCATCAATGATCTTAAATATATATTGTACTATTTGTACTCCTTTGTTAGGTTCTACAGCAGTGGTTTTCAAACTTTTTAACGATGTGGCAAACTTCAACTCCAACACAATTTTCGTGGCACACCAATCCATGTTATACCATAGATTAACCTATAGAGCACATAAAAAAAAGATCACCAGTAAAATATTCTCATAGTATAATATATAAAAATAGTGATAAAAAGATAGAACTGATTTAACGCGGCACACTTCAATCACGCACACGGCACACTGGTTGAAAACCACGACTGTTCACTCATATTAATTAATTCATATGGGTATTCAGTTTGTAATAATTGAACTCTAATATTTTGTCGACCTACATACTGACTTCTGATTATATTATATGATTGAATACATATCTGTAGTGATGTTAAGATTAATATCTAAAGGGTAGATAGCATGCATTGATAAATGTTTGATTAGATATATTTTAGTTTCTTAATTAAATCTTATTTGATACTTACTACGATAATATGATAAACGAAAATGTTCGAATTTTCAATATCTAATGATAAAACACTATACATTTTAATGAATAATAAAAATAATAATTCCTACCATATGTATTGCATTATACATTTAATGGTATGAGTAGGTTTTCAACCACAACCACCAACTATTTTGTCCGTTAAGAGATTTTTGTACATATATTATGAATAATAGTGTTTTGAATGTATGTATTTTTAATTCACCAAATCTTAGATTGTGAATTCTACTAGATGACCTAATGTAGATATTTCAAAATAAAATATTTTTGAAATGTTATCATAATATTAAAAATTTAATTTATTTTGAGCGAGTCTGGATTCGTTGAGTTTAAAGTGTTTTAAAAATGTATAGCATTTTTAATTAATATGATCTAAAAGTGAATAAAATTCTACAATATGACCTAAAGTTCAAAAATATTTTATAAAATTGAATATATTATACAAAAAAACTCCGCACACCCACACGCAGGTCTCTTCTCATTTTTCGATTGTAGCCACTATTCTGGTCAAAAAGTTGTTTAAAGACAGAAAAAAAGATGGAAATATTTCGCATGATTGGACAACATTTTATGTATATCTGTACACAACGATTAACCATTGCTAACCAAAATTGATTCTGAGAGGAGTTCATTATATATATTTTTTTTGATAATATTTGTTTGATATTGTACCTATTTTCCTGTTTTGTTTACACTTTTTTTCGGTTTTTTTCCATTTAGTATGAAAACATCTGGGAAAATCAAAACCACCCCTGTCCAATTTCCTTTTAGAAAAGGCGCTACACCTAATAACCTGAGCAAGATCTCTAGTAGAAAAGTTGTCCACAGAAAAAAAAAAACATCGTAAAACCATGAGCTTCTTCGCTCAACTAAGAATCTACAAAATGATTTACAAATGTCTATACACTATACAACACTTTTGTATAAAATATTAAATAAAATAACTGTATATAAATGATCAGATACTTCTGCGAGTATATATTATGCCTATAAATCAAAAATGTTAACAATTAAATTATGTTTAAACATATGGACATACCTATATGTTATATGTTGTGTGTATCTTTTTTGCTGTGCAGTTTAGATAATGTACCTATCAGTTCAAATAGTACAATATAATTTTAGTATAATATAAATGTATTTAACAATTTATATAACTAGTTGGAAGTCGATATTTATTAAAATATTACATTTATTTTTATATCTTTAATAATTGTACGGTACAAAATAGTAGTATAACATTATATTACTATACAAATTAGGATTGAGATTTTTAATTATTTTACTCATTCCATAATGGAATTAATTGGTAAAATTATAATTTGTTTAAAAAATTAATATAAATTAAATTCTAATGTATTTTGACATTTTATGCATTTATTTTTTTTGCAATATGTATGTATATTTTTATTTATTTACATGGCTTATAATATTAATATCATAAAACAGTACAACATACAACATATTGTATATTATTATGTATCTAAGTATTAATAAAGCCTAATAAATTAATAATACCTAGTATTGTGAGATTAAATATAATATAGTTTCCATAATTTCCTTTATCTAAGTAAGTATATATTTTTATTTTTTTGTGTGATTTTACATTTATATATGAAGCAGTTTTACCAAATTGTTTAATAAATAAATTCCCAACAATCGGTGTATTCAATTTTTATCAGCAACAGTTAAAAATTTACAACTGATTAAAACTTTTAAACATAATGTAGGTAAAATTTAACATATTCATTGTTCATGTTTAGAGTATAATAGTTGTAGAAACAGACAAATACTTAGGATATTTTAATGTTACACTTCAATATCTTATTAAATTTACGTGTTTTACAATAATTTATATTATATATTATTTATATTGAATGATACTACATAATATCCAACTAAATAATTCAAAAGAAAGTGGTACAAATTATTTATAATACCAATAAAAAATATTATTATCTACTTATAACTTATAAATCATTAACAAAAACAATGATATTGAAAATATACAAATAGGTACTACACGTGATACTTACAGAGTAAAATGTCTTGTAGAAAAGTTATTAACAGATAGAAAAAAAACACACATTGATAAAATCAATTAATCCCTTGCTACGCTTCGAATTTAAAAACTATTTGATTATTTTATTATGTGTTTCCTGTTTATCCTACATTTTTTTTCCAATTATTCTGAAAACTACTTATAAAATAAAAAATTAACTTTGTGCATCCACCAGATAAGTTTTCTTAAGATGTTACTTGAAATTTGGAGAAAGATTTCTTACAGCAAAATAAAATAAAAATAATGAAAATTAAATTGCCGTAAATTTATCCATTTTTCCGGTTATTAATTTAACAACTAGCTACTTGGAAAATCAAAGAAATGACTCACTTAATGCAACGACTACATCCGAATTGTGAAACAAAATGAGAGCAGTGTTGGTCGACAACTGAGTTACGTGCGCGGTTTTTTGGTGACAGTAAATTTGAGAGATAAGCCTGCATGAAAATAACGCGCAAATATTATTTACTTAAAAATGCTATCACTTAGTTTAGTTAAAAGTAGATATTTTTTAATTTTTTAAATTTTAAATTCCTAGGAGAACAATTTTCGCAAAATCTAAAATTTAAAAAAAATTCGAGTACGCAACTTGACCTCGCGTACACATCTCAACCTATTTTTAATGGCTATATTCTAATTTCCGCACGCAATTCGGAAACACCGAATCCATCAACTAGATTTAAAATGCTACAAAAAGTTCACTAGTTGTTTCCTATATGGTGATTGTGATATTTTAAAATGTCCCAGATTCAATAAAAATCTATGTTAAATCCACATATTAAATACAGATTATAAATTTTATTTTGCTTTTGAAAACGCAAATTGTCTATAATTTATAACGAAGACATTTTTCCTAAATGCATTTAGGCTAGTAAATCACGCATACATACATAGTTTTATTCGTCATATTTGCTCATTTTTTTTCAATATCTTTTATAAATTTAGGAATTATTATTATTATCCACGAAAATCTATTACAAAATAGTAGGTGTTTATTTTTTAAATATTTTTTATTCATTTATAGTAATGATGTGTTGCGAATTGTCATGGGAGCTGTTAAAAAATTAAATTACATATTTACATTTACATGATTTTTGTTGTTTAATAAATATCAGAGTTAATTACGACTCTTATCACATTTATGAAAATCCTTAAAACCAAAACGGTCCACAACGATCACAACAATTATATAGGTACCTATAAATATAATATAAATTATTTTTGTCTTATTAAAATAAATCATTTTTAATTAAATTTATTAGAATGTTTGTTGTGTAAAACTGTAAAGAAAAGAGTTCTTTAAATTTGAAATAATATAAGAAGGTTTAACGATGTATGTTTTATAAAAATAAATAGGTAACATACATTGTTATTTGTTGACAACCTATTTTTTCTTTGTTCCATAGTGACAGCCTCAGAAGTCAATCACAAGTCTATTAAAGTTAGCCATACCTGATGAATTATATGAATGTAGTTTACAATAACTTTTAAAAAATAATCATCATTTTGAACAATTTATATTCATATATTTATGTACCTATAGTTCAAAAAAATGTAAACTATTAACATATGTTTAAACAACTGGATATATATATATAACATAAATATATATTCCTCCACTACCTAATATATACGAGAATTAGTGTCACATGAATAAAAATTTGTGTAAAACTAAACAGTAAGTACAATATAATTTTGATGTAAAGTGAATGAATTAAACAATTTAAACAGTTAAAAGTGGATATTTATTAAATTATTTTATTATGAAAAAAATTTAATCGCATTTGTTTATTAACTAAATCTTTAATATTTGTGTTGTGAACATATCTAAATAAAACACAACAATGAATATATGCAACATTACTATTCGTAAAAATCGTATAACGTTACTATATAGTGCATTAATATTTTTCTCGACAATGATAATTGGGTTATATTTGTTTGATCTTCAAAAAAAAGTATGACATACCTATCATTATAATGTTTTGAATTGTTAAACTCATTTCTTAAGAGAATTTATACCCAAGATATGAGAAATATCTTAATGTTTTTACATTTTTATAACTTTCTAGCTGCCCCGCTCTCGGCGTTGCCCATGTTAATTTTTATCCATTTTACCTTTATTTCCGTTTTGCTTTGTCCGTATTAGTATATCGAACTAAAAAAAATAAGTGAAAAGTTGATAGTCTACGGACTAATAATATTTTAGTGTATCATAAATTTATTCATTCGTGTTACCATAGATACCCGCACAACACAGGGATTAAATTAGATACTAACCATTATAATAACCTTAAAATTATGAGGATATAATGGTCCTTTAGTGTTGTTACTTTACCAAAAAAAAGAAAGATTCAGAGATGACGTTTTACATGTTTTCACTTTTCACTTAATGACTCAGTACAACGCATAGTTATATTGTTTTTATATTCATTCATGTTTCCAAGGTAGCCAATGTTATTTCAATCCAATAAAAGACCAGCAGACGGATAGATAGACCCTTTATTTTAAATCGATAAAGTTGTTATGACATTATTGTATCTGTTTATTATATATTTTTTTGTTTTTAATTATTTTTCATTTCATTTGTGTTGCTATGGGAATCCATAATTCAACAAAAATAATTTAATTTTTGTACCAAAAATATTTAAAAACTTTTCATCCCCTTCAAGTTTTTTATTTGTGACAAAAGTAGCCTATGTTTTTCACCAAGGTCACATCTATCTCCTTACCAAAATTAATCAAAAACTTTCGGTAGTATTAAGGTGAAAAAGTACAAATTTCCATTCATTTTCATAGTCTTTTACATTTATAATATTAGTAGAATAAGTAGAAAGATCATATTTCCAAAGTTTAAAATACTTTGCACTGATTTAATTATGATAAATCCTCAATAATTATTGTTCTCAGGTAAAATATTTTTCTAATTAATTTATAAAAATAGCAACAACTTTACAACTCATAAATATATTGTAATATGTATGGCATCATTAATTAATAATGTTATTTTGATATCAAATGATTTCTAGAATATTTCTTTTATCTCAATTCATGGTTTTTCGTGAGTATGAACACATAATAAATTATGAACGGAGAATTTAATTATTATGTTTAATCGAGATTTCTACTGAACAGTTGTTCTGAAAACTAACATTAACTATAAAAAAAAATATTAGTACCTACTTATAAAACTATACATAATATTAGTACTCAAAAAATATTTTAATATTTTTAAAAATATTCCAACATATAATCTTTAACTAATTAGAATACAATAACAGTCAACAATAACTTACAAACATATAAGATTGTTAATATTTTAAATTTAAAAAATGCATATTTCAAAATCATAACTTATCATTATTAATGATGAGTAATGATTTTTTATACAGTGAACTGTTATTATAATATAACAATTTAATTATTTTATAAAATTATATTAATTGAAAATTGTGTTCTTATTTCCCAGTCCATTTTAGTACTAACTGACACCAATAATGGTAAGTATTTCAAAAATTGTTTTAATAATTATTTTTAAAAACTATTTAATANTATTATAATATAACAATTTAATTATTTCATAAAATTATATTAATTGAAAATTGTGTTCTTATTTCCCAGTCCATTTTAGTACTAACTGACATCAATAATGGTAAGAATTTAAAAAATTGTTTTAATAATTATTTTTAAAAACTATTTAATATTTTCTTATTTAAATACAGCTCCATCATATAAAAGTAAAAGATTGGTATGGCCAGAAGAATTACCAATTGGCGATAGAATTAAAAATCAATTAAATTATATACCAAAAGGCTACAATTATGAGAAGACACCTGTTAAAACGATTTTAATTTATACCGGAATGGGTTCCCCTTGGGAAAGACCACTACTTGGCCAAGGCCTTTTTTTTGGTTGTCCTGTAAGTCAATGCATGTTAACGGTGAACACTTCATTAGCCCCAGAAGCTGATGCTGTCTTATTCAGGCATATTTTCAATCGTCCGTCTTATAAAAGACCACCAAATCAGGTATGAATATTAAAAATATTATTTTTTTTTTTTTGCTTGATCAATTATATAAACAATAATAAATTACTCGGTACTCCAACCATAACTTTGTTTATGTGATGATATTCTGCACGCCACACATGTCTTGCCCATTTTAGTATTTTGCTTTCCGGAAATTGGTAAATATTTGGTTAATTTAATAAGCTTTGTGTATCATCATTATTCCTTCTGTCGAAAATTCCTGAATCTAAATTATACACCGTTCCACATAATTATTTTTAAATTTTCCTTTTATAGCCCTCACCTATTATATAAGTAAATGAGGACGATATTAAGGGAGATACCATGCTACGTTTTAAAAATTAAAATTTATTTTGTTCACAATTACAGTCATTTTAAAATATCGGAATTGACGTTATTTCTGAACGATGTACTGAGCATTATGTTCGGAATAATGGCAAAAACGCACAGTATATAGTATACGCGTAATCAATTTTATTTCAAATTTATTATAAATATTAGACTAATGGAATTCCTTGTTTTAATATAGTAGCTGTAAAAAACTGCGAATTTTTGTCGATTAAATTAGATAATCTAGAAGTATATTTTTATTTCGTGATATGGTTTTTTTTTTTTTATTAGAATTCAGCTTATAATCCATGTATGATTTTATCTATTATAAAATACTATGTAACAATGTGAAAAAAAATATTTTACCTTTATTTGGTGTGTAGTATGTTGTACATGCACATTACGTCACTGATATACCTGGTAATTCTTTGAAGTGAGTAGGTACCATCATTTACTCGGAAAGTAGTGGAGCTTTATTAAAATGCTACACTACTCTCGCCCTACCAAAACTAAAAAAAGGAATATCTCATTTACAGGTTTACAGAAATCAAAAATTTTTTACACCAACATGTATTTAAGCTAATACTCCATCAAATTATGAAATTTATTATATAGATTGCCATTTGAAAATCAATAGTAGGTTGTCGTTTCATTCCCAAAAATAATGATAAAAAAAAATAGAGTATTGAAAAAAAATATATGTATAGGTACAATTGTGGTAGGTTTCAGCTTTTTCGACATATTGCTTAATCAGTTCCTGTAACCAAGATTTTATAAACATCGTATATTTTTTTTTTGTTAAAAGCTTTTTAATAACATTTCCGAGAACTCGAGAATATATATTCAATATTCATTCTTATGGAGAAATTAATTTTTTAAATTTCAATATTATTACAATGTGATGTTGTTATCACTAATGTCATTTTGAACGATTTAAATATTAATAATGATATAACTATTCACTCAAATCATTATTTTGACTACGTGAAGTAATTGATTATCTTTTTATAATGTTATTAATTTGTCTTCACAGCTTTTAATTTTATATTCTTAGGTATATGCATTTCACCACCAGAAATATAACTTCACGGTATTTCCAGTTTATGAGTTAAATTTAGTAGAAATTAAGTTCGTGGATTTTTAATTTCAGTATAAAAATTATATATTATTAATTATATCATAAACATTAAGTATTACTAATTATTGATCATACTATATAATTTTTATTATAAACACGGATGCCATTTTATTTTAGATTTGGATTATTGAACATACTGAATCACCTTATGCAACATCGCATATAAATGATAACGGTGATTTTAATTGGACAGTTAACTATCGTTGGGATAGTGACATACCGCGACCTTATGGGTATTTTAAAAAATATGAACCTGAACAACCCTTGCCAAGTATTGTTAAAAATTATGCAGAAGGTAAAACTAAACAAGTTGCTTGGTTCGTGTCAAATTGTAATCCCAATAACAAACGTAACGAATATGCTGCTGAACTTTCAAAATATATTTCGGTTGATATATATGGTCTTTGTGGTACTCTACAATGTCTCAGATCTAATGAAGAAGAATGTTTCAAGATGTTGAATGAAGATTATAAATTTTACTTAGCTTTTGAAAACGCAAACTGTGCATATTACATTACGGAAAAATTTTTCTTAAATTCACTTAGGTAAGTTTTAATTATACATATGTATTACCAGGGATGGGCAAGTTACAGTACATAGTGTAACTGGATACAAGTTACATGTTACATTTTTCCTAAATAACTGGTTAACAGTTACTATTACTGTAATATAAGTNTATCAAATTGTATTCAAATATTAATTTGAAACATTTTTTAATCAAAGCAATTAATTAAGGTTTTAACGTTATGTATCAACACTTTATTTTAATGCAGACAATTTTTTTTTTACACTTGGATATCGTATGGTGAACTAATAGTTCATAGTTTACAATCGTTTAAAGGTATAATACCTTAATATAGGTTAGTACTTACATCCGTATATTTTATTTTTTGATTCTGAGCCTAGCGAAGGATCTATTAGTTCTCCATGGTGTTTTCTCTCTTTCATTATTATCTTTTGACCAAATTATATAATATGATACAAATGTATTTTGTTGCATTTTGGATCCTGATTTTATAATAATAGAGAAAAACTAGTTTTTTTTTTCTGATTATGTACCTGTACATGGAAGTTTATAACAAAAATGTTTTTTTAACACTATGAGTTATTTACAGTCATAATGTGTTGCCAATTGTCATGGGAGCATCTCGGAGGGAATATGAATTAGTTGCGCCTAACCATTCGTTCATACACGTTGATGATTTTAAATCTGCAGAGGATTTAGCTATGTATTTACACAAATTGGACAAAAATGATGAGTTATACAACGAATATTTTAAATGGAAAGACACCGGTACACTTATGATAAATACCATATTGTATTGTCGGATTTGTGCAATGCTTCACGATAAAGATCATCCACCAAAACACTATACAAATCTCTCGAAATGGTGGAGTGGTCCTGATGTTTGTCATCCCTAAAAACAATACAATTTGAGTTGTGGACTATCTCTTACTCTTTTAGATACTATTATAAATTTCATTAGTTTTTTAATATTCGTAATTTTATATTAATATTAAAATAAGTTATACTAAGGTATCTATATAAATGAAGCTTGTCTTAAATTATTATTTTTTTAAAATTGTTCTATAGAATATAGACATTTTTGATTTTGTAAAATAAAAAAAGGATTTACATTTTCCTGTTTAAAATTAATGAATTTACCAAATGTAATATGTAAGAGTCCATTTCAATTTATCATAGTGCCTATAATATACATTTTATGCCAAGTATATTCATGTTAAAATATTAAACTAAATAGTTACACTTGCATGATTTTGACTTTTAATGTATATCAGGGATATTTACGATTCTTATCGCGTTTATGAGAATCGTGAAAACCAAACCTCAAAAATCCCAACATTTATACAGGAACTAATAAACATAATATAAATTATTTTAAACGAAAGATGTTTTTATTTTTGAAATAAAATAATTAGGTTTAACAATGTATGTTTTATACAAATTAATAGGCAACATACATTGTTATTTGTTTAAACCATTTTTTTCTTTGTTCCATCGTGTCAGCCTGGAAAAACTCAGAAGTCAAACATTGGTTTATTGAAACTGACCATCCGTGATGAATTATATATTAATACAATAACTTTTATAAAATAATCATTGAACAATTTTATACTTATATATTTATGTATTTATGATTTAAAAAATGTAAACTATTAACATATGTTTAAACATCTGGTTATGTATACCATATATACATTCACCTATTGCCTAAATATACGAATATTAGTACCGCGTGTATTAAAAAATTGATCCATGTAAAAACAGTATTTACAATATAATTTTAGTGTGAATAAAATTTTTTAAACAGTTGAAAGTGGATATTTATAAAATTATTTTATTAGTAAATAAATTTAAACGCGTTATTTTTTTTAATTGAATCTTTAATATTTGTGTTGTGATAAATAACTGAATAAAATACCATAATGAATACATACAACATTACTGTTCGTAAAAATCGTATAATATCGATCTTCAGTGTATTAATATTTTTCTCGACATTAATAATAATTGGGTTATATTTGTTTGATCTTCGAAAAAAAGTATGACATACCTATCATTATAATGTTTTGAATTGTTAAACTCATTTCTTAACAGAATTTATACGCATATTATGAGAGATATCTTAATGTTTTTACATTTTTATAACTTTCTAGCTGCCCCGCTCTCGGCGTTGCCCATGTTATTTTTTATCCATTTTACCTTTATTTCCGTTTTGCTTTGTCCGTATTAGTATATCGAACTAAAAAAAATAAGTTAAAAGTGGATAGTCTACGAACTAATAGTATTTTAGTGTATCATAAATTTATTCATTCGTGTTACCATAGATACCCGCACAACACAGGGATTAAATTAGATATCAACCATTATAATAACCTTAAAATTATGAGGATATAATGGTCCTTTAGTGTTGTTACTTTACCAAAAAAAAGAAAGACTCAGAGATGACGTTTTACATGTTTTCACTTTTCACTTAATGATTCAGTACATCGCATAATTCTTGTTTTTATTTTCATTCACGTTACTAAGATAGCCAATCGTATTTGCGTGAAAGAGTACAAACATCCATACATCCTTACAAACTTTCACAGTTATAATATTGGTAGGATAAGTAGGATTGTCATATTTCCAAAGTTAAAAATACTCTGCACTGATTTGATTATGATAAATCCTTAGTTATTATTGTTCTCAGACAAAATATTTTGATATCAAATGATTTCTAGAATATTTCTTTTATCTCAATTCATGGTTTTTCGTGAGTATGAACACATGATAAATTATGAACGGAGAATTTAATTATTATATTTATTCGAGATTTCTACTGAACAGTTGTTCTGAAAACTAACATTAACTATAAAAAAAAATATTAGTACCTACTTATAAAACTATACATAATATTAGTACTCAAAAAATATTTTAATATTTTTAAAAATATTCCAACATATAATCTTTAACTAATTAGAATACAATAACAGTCAATAATAACTTACAAACATATAAGATTGTTAATATTTTAAATTTAAAAAATGCATATTCCAAAATCATAAGTTATCATTATTAATGATGAGTAATGATTTTTTATACAGTGAACTGTTATTATAATATAACAATTTAATTATTTTATAAAATTATATTAATTGAAAATTGTGTTCTTATTTCCCAGTCCATTTTAGTACTAACTGACACCAATAATGGTAAGTATTTCAAAAATTGTTTTAATAATAATTTTTAAAAACTATTTAATATTTTCTAATTTAAATACAGCTCCATCATATAAAAGTAAAAGATTGGTATGGCCAGAAGNCATATAAACAATAATAAATTATAAGACAATATTTCAAATATATTTAATAGTTATTTAAATTACAACTATTATAAATACCTAATCACTGCATATATAATCATAATTGTAAATGTAACTTTTATAATAAAGTACCTATTTACTTATTAATATTATTTATTTACACAACTATAATAATTTAATGTATTGTTTATAATTATTTAATTTTCATAATTTGTAAAATTATCTCTATGTGTACAGTAAAATAAAATGGATTACTTATATCTAAAAGTAAAACCTTTTTGTAAAAAAAATAAATGTATTAAATTGGTGAAGAGATTTCGTCATAATGAAGGAGGGGGAGGATTATTTTTAAGAACTATTATCATTTTCTTATTTTTTTTTTATTTTTATTTTAAGCACACTCAGGCTTTTTGTATGATTAATTTATGCAAAAATAAATAAATTTAAATTCTGATTTTATGAATTTTTAAGTGCAGTGAACGTCAATATGTTTGCATACTTAGATTTTTTACAACATTAATTATTGTGGAGGTTTAAGGAATATCCTTTGGTGATAATAACATTGGTTTTTCAAATGAGAACGAATGTTATGATGGAAATTATGCAGATGAATGCATTTTTTATGAAATTTTGAAAGAAATGTTTCTAAGATATTCCGCTTTAAATACTAAAGATAATAATGATAACATCTGACAGGAGTTGGATAATAACTGTTTCATGTGTATGGATAATTACTTGTTTTGAACCGTGCAGTTATATTTATTCTCATAAGTTGGAGTGGTTCTCATAAGAAAAACCAATTTTGATATTTTCACAAAATTTTATGTAATGTACATGTATTCAAGCTAATACTCCATCAATTTATGAAATTTATTATATAGATTGCCATTTGAAAATCAATAGTAGGTTGTCGTTTCATCCCCAAAAATAATGATAACAAAAAAAAGTTTATTGAAAAAAATATATATGTATAGGTACATTTGTGGCGCCCTTTTTGGGGCCCAGAGCTTCAGCTTTGTCAGTATATTAATTAATCAGGCAGGCCCTGTTATCAAGTTTTTATAATCATCGTAAATTTCTTTTTGTTAAAATTTTTTTTATAGCATTACCGAGGACTTGATAATATATTCAATAATTTTATAGAGAAATTAGGTTTTTAAATTTTAATATTCTTACGATATGAAGTTAGTTGTTATCACTAATGTCATTTTGAACGTTTTAAATATTAATAATGATATAAATATTCACTCAAATCATTATTTTGACTACGTGAAGTAATTGATTATCTTTTTATAATGTTATTAATTTGTCTTCACAGCTTTTAATTTTATATTCTTAGGTATATGCGTTTCACCACCAGAAATATAACTTCACGGTATTTCCAGTTTATGAGTTAAATTTAGTAGAAATTAAGTTCGTGGATTTTTAATTTCAGTATAAAAATTATATATTATTAATTATATCATAAACATTAAGTATTACTAATTATTGATCATACTATATAATTTTTATTATAAACATGGATGCCATTTTATTTTAGATTTGGATTATTGAACATACTGAAGCACCTTATGCAACATCGCATATAAATGATAACGGTGATTTTAATTGGACAGCTAACTATCGTTGGGATAGTGACATACCGCGACCTTATGGGTATTTTAAAAAATATGAACCTGAACAACCCTTGCCAAGTATTGTTAAAAATTATGCAGAAGGTAAAACTAAACAAGTTGCTTGGTTCGTGTCAAATTGTAATCCCAATAACAAACGTAACGAATATGCTGCTGAACTTTCAAAATATATTTCGGTTGATATATATGGTCTTTGTGGTACTCTACAATGTCTCAGATCTAATGAAGAAGAATGTTTCAAGATGTTGAATGAAGATTATAAATTTTACTTAGCTTTTGAAAACGCAAACTGTGCATATTATATTACGGAAAAATTTTTCTTAAATTCACTTAGGTNTGAACTTTCAAAATATATTTCGGTTGATATATATGGTCTTTGTGGTACTCTACAATGTCTCAGATCTAATGAAGACGAATGTTTCAAGATGTTGAATGAAGATTATAAATTTTACTTAGCTTTTGAAAACGCAAACTGTGCATATTACATTACGGAAAAATTTTTCTTAAATTCACTTAGGTAAGTTTTAATTATAGCTATGTATTACATACTTATGCAGAAAAATAAACATTATAATATTATAATTTCGCGGAGTTATTACAATTAATTGTTATATTAGATTCTGAGCACATTTTGGTAAAATGCTTATGTAAAATACATTTTTGTGCAAACAACATTTTAAAGTAAAATTAATAGCTTCAATAATTTCATATAATTCATCTTGTTTCTATCAAATTGTATTCAAATATTAATTTGAAACATTTTTTAATCAAAGCAATTAATTAAGGTTTTAACGTTATGTATCAACACTTTATTTTAATGCAGACAATTTTTTTTTTACACTTGGATATCGTATGGTGAACTAATAGTTCATAGTTTACAATCGTTTAAAGGTATAATACCTTAATATAGGTTAGTACTTACATCCATATATTTTATTTTTTGATTCTGAGCCTAGCGAAGGATCTATTAGTTCTCCATGGTGTTTTCTCTCTTTCATTATTATCTTTTGACCAAATTATATAATATGATACAAATGTATTTTGTTGCATTTTGGATCCTGATTTTATAATAATAGAGAAAAACTAGTTTTTTTTTTCTGATTATGTACCTGTACATGGAAGTTTATAACAAAAATGTTTTTTTAACACTATG